GCGGCCGCATTTTCTGATAAGTTATTTTTCTGCGAAAACTTCGTTGAACTTTGGAGACATCATTAATAGAAATAATTTTTATGGCCGTTGAATAAAAAATGTTTTTTTCACAAGAAATGTATAAAATTACAGTACTGTATTAGACTTACGGTACTAATTTACATACTGTACAGACGATAGTAAACGACTTACTTTAGAAAGTCCTCCCGGAAAATCATCCACGTCTTGCCTTGCAGTTTACAAAGAAAATCAAACTTAGAGGGTGTCCGTACGACGAGAAAAATTTTAAAAATATAACTAATCCGTAATAAATAAATGGATTTTATTTTATTAAATTATATTTCCTAAATTTTGATTTTATTGAATCTAAATTTCTTTTAAGCACAAAATAATTTACAATATAACTATTTTATGTTTACAGTGTGTGAAACTGGCAACGGTAAATATACATAACCACGTGGTCTAAGGATCAATAGCAATAGATAAGAATACCCAATTACACGTTAGAATCTTTCGAGCACGTGTATATTAAAATTATATTTATATATGTATTATATATACTGTAATTATATACAATAACTAAAATTGTTAATTGTATTGTAAATGTCTCAGTCAATTGTAAATACCGGGTGAGTTACTTCGAATTTCGTGGCTTATTAATTTGCTTCAATTAATAATTAAAATTATTATGCTGAGTTACACGGTCCTTTAGTTTATAAATGTGCTGCTAAGATTAAATGATATTTTTTATTTTGATTTTAAATTTTCATGTTAACTTTATAAATTTGATGTTTTTCCCACTAGTAAATTTAAATGCCCTGAAGATTTCAAAGAGATTAATTTTGAAATTAAAGACGAATTATGCGAAGAAGATGTCAAAAATGAAGATAACGAACTCTGGCTAATTCAAATACCTATTGAGGTAAATAGAAATATAGTTTTTAAAACATTTCCAATAGTCAGATCTTTAGCAATACATTGGCAACTGGGCAACTGCTGAGGTATAAGGCATGAAGTGTATGTGCCACTCACACCTTACAAATATTTTTGCATTGTGTAGTAAGAAACTGAAAATATCGGGCATGCTTTGTCGTAATTTGTGCCACTCCATTATGTTGCTGTGATTTTCCATCAGTATATAGTGATTCCTTTTAAACCAATAATTAAAATGTTGCTGACATACAAAAGTTCTAAACACCAAGAATCATTTTTCAGCAGTTCATAAAACGTGTCCTGCTGTTGTTGTTTAAAAAACTTTTGGTTCTTTGAGTTTGAGAATTTAGTTCAGGACCATGTTGTGCTATGATGCAGAGAGGTGGCCGCATCAACAGCATTAAAGGGGTTGCATAGGCGGCATTTCAGACTTGCATCATACTGAGAAAATCTACCGCACGTCCCAGATTTGGTTCAACACGTGATCTCAAGATACCGTATTTTGACGAGTATAAGTCGCTGTCAAGTATAAGACGCACCCCTATTTTGAGACAAAAAATTTAGAAAAAAACTGTTTTAATGGGATTGTCTAAAGATGCATTTTATTTGATTTTTTATTCAAGAATATGACGGATGGATGAATCGATACATTTATTAAACTGAAATAATCGTCATTTCTTAATGTAAACTCAGAGGTCATGTGATGAGAGTTGACAGAACATGGCGGCGATGACTCGTGTGTCGTTACTCTGATAATCTAGGTACTCTAGCCATTCGGTTGAGGCACCATCTGCTTAACGGACCACTGCACAGGTTGGTTTCTAGAGTGGACCACTACTGTAGGTAATTTCACTGTAAAAATGGTTACCTGTCAAGTATAAGACACACCATGATTTTGAGCCCCAAAAAGTAGTAAAAAAAGTGTGACTTATACTTGTCAAAATACGGTAATCATCTTACATTTGTGTGCAATATTAGTAAGATATGAGCTGTATTCATTTCCTAACATTTTTTCAAAATGTTTACAATTCAAAAGTTAGGATTTGATGAAATTTACCATTTTGACAATTTGATTCAAAATTTCAGTCAACTTTATACTGAAAGGTTTTACAACTAGTGTTCTATGTGTAAAAAAACAATGAGTTATTATCATGGATGAATTTTCATTCAAGATTCTGGTGATAAAACTTTTATACTTCTTTAGCATTGATGTTGCACTGTCAATACATGTACCACTAGTCTTTCTACGAAAGGCAGTGGTCGTTAAGATAATAATGAAAACGAAAATATCCTGGCTAATAGCTGTAGTTTGAGGCTCTTTATAAAACAGAAACTGCTCATTGATATCTTTATCATTAATAAATCTGTCAAAACCAAGGAGTTAACATTTGGCAATTGTGTCAGTACTCTCATCCACTTGTACAACAAATTAATTATTAAATTTATTTTCTTTATGGCTTGTTCATTTATATTGAATGACATCTGCAGATATCCTACAGCAGATTGTATTGTTTGACAGGGTAACTTATTGAAATCCAATCTTTTGCTTTTTGGCCAAGTATTGTTTCAAATATTATTTTGCAGATCGGGTAGTGATTTCCTTCCCAGTTGTATGAGGTTTCATTTGTTTGTTACTATTAGTTTTTCAATTTTAAAAGAAGCTTCAAAAGCAGTGTCAGATATGGTAAGTCTTTTAACCGTTCTAACAGCTGCATTCTTCTGTCCCTCAGATGTGAAAAATAAGATAAACTTTTTCCAATTCACCAGGATACTTGATGATAAAATGCTGCTTCAGTTTGCTGGATACCATGACTGATTGCTGAGTGTTTCTCAATACATACAGGATGAAGGTTATCATTGTCGCATCATGTGATAAATATGTGTAAATATGTGAAATATGGTTTCCTTTGTTATCTTTTGAATCTAATGGATTAGGAGAAACTCCAACACTCAAAACCAGCAGTGAAAGCTAACAGTTCTCTTTCATTGTTTTGGAGTTTATATTACCTCACAACAGATTTATCTGTAGTGTCATGATCTGCAAGAGTGAGTCTATCAATCTGGTCAAGCACAAGATGTGATCTACTAACAAAGTTTTTACTTAATGACAACTAGAACACTACAAGTAACTACAGCACTAATTAATCAGATGTCATATCAATATTCCATAGAAAAACTTCTCATAAGTACAGTAAATAGCTAATAGTGAGGTTGCGGTAGAAGTTTTCATTTCTAAAACGTGAATGTTGAATGTTGCTTACAAGATAGCAGTGCTTGACGTTCAGTGTTCTCGTTTTAGAGATGAAAACTTAGGCCGCAATCTTGCTAATGAAATCATTGTGAAACTTTGGTGACAAGTGATTATTTTCTTTTGTACCTCCAGCTGAAACATTGCAAATCTTCTACAGATCATATATGGAAGTTCTGTACTTTTCTAGAATACAGAACTTCTGGATAGTGATCTTGAATTTAGTTCCCATCTGTCAGACACTAAAAGATAAAACTTTCTTTCAATTCTTCTATTTTCATACCATTCCAAGTACTGTGGCATGCTAGTAGGAATCTCTGACAGTGTTTTATGATTGCAAAATGTTTTAATATTTTTTGGGAGATAAATTCAGAGTTTACAGCTAAAGTTATTCAATGTTACCCATGTATAGTAAAAATTTCAAAAACAGTATTCCCTCGGGGAAAACTGGGAAATGTCAGGGAATTTTGTAATAATCAGTGAAAGTCATATTTGGTGTTAAATCAGGAAATTTATTTATTTTTCTGAAAACTTAAACACTAGATCTGTAGTTTAAAAGATAGGAACTTTTAAAGCTGAAAATGTTTTAAAATCATTTTGTGTTTTCTGATGTTATGTATAGTACTGTACATGTGCACAAAATATGGCCAGTGATACCATTGTTTTATGTATTGAAATGTAAGTTAACAGAATATGAAAACAAAACGTAATAGAATTAATTTAACAGGCATATATACATGGCTTGTTATATTATATTTTTTTTCAAAAAAATTAATTTAAAGCATATTAAAATAAGTTGATTATTCAGTTTGAAATACAACATAATGTCATATTTATAATATATATATATATGAATTATCATTATTCCTAAATAATGATAATTCATTTCTTTAGCTAACTAATTACCTGAATTTCTAAAAGACACATTAAAATTATACTGTATATATTTTAAATATGGTAACAGTGTATGTTTTGATAAGAAAATTTGGAAAATAAAGTCTTTGCCATTTAGCATTAAATGCTAATTGGGCTGCAATTTGAAAAAATTGTAGACCTATAACTTTCCACTGTCGTTTTCCTGTCCTTCCTTTATTCTCATGAACAGAATAAGAGGGATGAATGCCGAGACTAGATATGAACATCTTAGGGGCAGAAGGCCCTGATTAACTGTATAAGAACTTCCAGTATAGACCAGAAGTCACATGATTTCAATTCAAAAATTTTCCCCAGAAAGGAGTTACATAGATCACCAGCATCAGGAAATGCATGATGTAGGGACAAGACACTACTAATCTGAGATTGAGAGCATATATTTTAAATTAAATAAATAGAAAACGTGATTAAAAATTGCAGCCCGGCAGTGTGATGATGTCACAATAAATAATTTCTTGTTTCATTTTAGGTTTTATCAGTAATTCTTTATATGGAATATATACAAGGCTATTGAGAAGATGGGAAATTTCCCAGGATAAGAGAAAACTTAAGCATATGAAATAGATCATTGTTATAACATTAAAGTAAGATTGAAGAAATATTTAAAACTATAATGTAACTATAACAATTTGTTTCCCTCCTATTTTAAATATGAATTTTCAAAGTGAATAAGAAAAAACAATATGTTTTATGTTTTGTAATTTTATTATTGACGTAAATCAATCTTTCGATAGAAGGCAAAATAGAAATAATACTGTAGTGGTATTATGAATCAAAATATGAAATCTGATCCATTATTCTTGTCAAGTATTACACCAAATGTAATGTTAAAGATTGACATATTTTATCTTTTATAATGTAATTTGAAGTTAATAAATGAAAGGGACTGAAGAAGGGCAGAAAAGTTCAAAAGGCATATCCTTAACATTCCTAACTAAAAATTTCTAGAGTTGAATATTGTTTCTTAAACAAGAGAAGTAATACACAAGTTCTAAAAACATAAGTATTCATGTATCTAAATGTATCTAAACATAGAAAAGGTACAGTAAAATACAGAATTTAATAAAAAATATTTCAATTAATATAAAAATTAATAAATATATACTGTATAAAATATTCACAATTTGGNATTTTATCTATATATATATATATATATATATAAATGGACGTGTATGTCCCTATATTTCACTTTTTCGCCAAAACTACATATCGCACGTGAATGGTGTTTGTATGTGGTAGTAGCACCAAGTCTCCATTCGTACACTATGGTGGTTGCGTCTCGATAGCTATAAGGGTGCGGGAGATATGGGTTGAAAGTGGTTTTCTATTTCGAATGTTATGTTCGAATTTAATTCGAACAATATTCGAATTAAATTCGAACATAAAATTCGAATATTGGTTCGATTATAGAACTTTATAGAATTTTATGTTCGAATTAAATTCGAACATAAAATTCGAATATTGGTTCGATTATAGAACAATTGTAAACGTTCCAGAAACGTTGAAAATAGTTCGTTTGATTGGACGTAAAAATTCTCTAATTAGTCTGGAAACGGGGGACCTAATTCTTGCATTCTGTGAAAACGGGTAAGATTGGCTATTATGTAATTATCATAATCTTCATTATCGTTACTTTTTGCCCAGCGAAGCGGTTCCTTGCAGCTAGATTCTAGATTACTTAGAAAAAGAGTCTTTTATATACCATGTATAAAAAAAACTATATTATATACAAGTAAAAACCCAGCGAAACGGGTCCTTGCAGCTAGTCCGATATAAAATTGGCTTACGTGTATTTATTGTGATTTCAAATATACGTATTTATGAAATTAGCATATTATAACTATGAGGCTCATTGTGTACTTGCAAAATTTATTCATAATCGTTTTCGATGCCACTTTTAGCTAGGATGAATGTATCGTTAAAATAGTTAATCATCATATTATGATTTAGACCAGGAGAAAAAAAACACTACTAGCTTCGCCGGGCCATTTTTATGTCTACTTTAAATAATGCAATCACATGCTTCTTCTAGACGGAAAAAAGAGATAGTGATGTAATAAAAAAAACTGCTCTTAGTGCGCAGAAGATGGGGTCCACCAGTGGCCGAGTGGATAAAACCACTGAACACTGCTAGTTGGTCGCGGGCTGGCCACGCGGAGTTTTCCGGGTTTTATTTACGTTTGTAACACCCAAATAGGGATCAGTTTTCCTTAGAAAGTCCTCCCGGAAAATCATCCACGTCTTGCCTTGCAGTTTACAAAGAAAATCAAACTTAGAGGGTGTCCGTACGACGAGAAAAATTTTAAAAATATAACTAATCCGTAATAAATAAATGGATTTTATTTTATTAAATTATATTTCCTAAATTTTGATTTTATTGAATCTAAATTTCTTTTAAGCACAAAATAATTTACAATATAACTATTTTATGTTTACAGTGTGTGAAACTGGCAACGGTAAATATACATAACCACGTGGTCTAAGGATCAATAGCAATAGATAAGAATACCCAATTACACGTTAGAATCTTTCGAGCACGTGTATATTAAAATTATATTTATAATGGATATATAATGGCATTTGGTATTTGTTGTTCACAAATTTTGTGAAAGTATTTTATTATATAAACTTTGTGGACACATTTTATGTATGGTCACTTAACTGGCTGCATTTTAGATTTGTTTACACATTAATGTGTTGTATGAATTTTTCAGCTCCATTGTAATTGCATGGTATCTCTATCATGTTTGTGGTCTGTTATTAAGTGCCACTTACCTGTAACTATATAAAAGAAATTCCCAAGGAGATAGATGATCTAAAGACTTTGTTAGAAAATATGATCTGTTTGTCTGAATTTTAAATATGGCATGTTATGAAGAATGTAATCAATGTATTTTAAAGCTAAATTTTACTAATCATAAATATGTCTTATAACTATGAGATTTCGAATTGTTCATTTTAGATGATGAATTAATGAAAGCATAAAACTGTATGCAAAAGAAGATAAGCAAACAATTTCAGTCCAGAAGTTTGTAACATTGTAACATTTGATTATTTGATACTGTATATGCAATGACTTTCTTAAAATTTCAGTTCATACTAATAACCAACGTTTCTCCACAAAGTAAATTGATTAAAAAAAAACAAAAAAAAAGCTCTGATTACAATTTAAAATGTTTATACAGTCGACCCCCCTATAATTACGGTCCCTATAGTTACGATTCCCATAACACTACGAAAAAATTGCTACCTGTATCCGTAAAAAATAGTAAAAGTTCCCTATAAACACCTCAAACGTCATCGGGCAGCCGAACTACTTTCCCGCCGTCCGTAGCGCCACGCTACAGAGAGATTTCTATCGTCTGGACAGTATTATATAAATTATATATAAATTAGGTACTGTACATATAATTATATATTAATTATATATAAATTAGGTACTGTATATATAATTATATATTAACTTATTGTAACTTTGTTATAATTAAATATATAATTTCCGCCGTCTAGCGTGGCGCCACGCTACGGAGATTTTTACGCTAACTATCGTCTGTCAGTATGTAAATTAGGTACCGTAAGTCTAATACAGTACTGTAATTTTATACATTTCTTGTGAAAGAAACATTTCTTATTCAACGGCGATTAAAATTATTTATATTAATGATGTCTCCAAAGTTCAACGAAGTTATCGCAGAAAAATAAGTTATTAGAAATCGGCGGCTGTACCGTGTGCTGTTCCGCGACAAAAACAAGCTTTAACAATGGCGGTGCAGACTCGGTAAGTAACCCTACAATTTTTTGTTTATAGCGTAGTTTATACGGATTATTTCCAAAAAATATATACGTATTTTGGAAATGTTGAGTCGGATTAGTCTAGAATCGATTAATTTTATGGAAGAAAATCTTTCAAATTGCCGTAGTCCGTAAACTTGACACGTGTCGGGTTGTGATTGGAAGGAATCGTAAGAAATCGGATTCCTAGAAAATAGAACGTATCTCTATCTTATAGGGGGGTCGACTGTATCTATAAACAAATTTATGAATAATCATAGCTTTAATACAGTAGTATAGTATATGTTTTATATTTCTATGTAAACTTAAGGGAAATATATAAAAAGTTGACCAGCTAACTAACCTATTTCCTACTAGAAAATTTAGTTGATTGATTGGTGGTGTCAGCAGTTTTATGTTTTTGGTATGACATAATGGATATAAGTTAGTGATGCCCAAACTTTTTGATTGGGAGGCCAAATTGTGCATAAGTTGTAGTTAAGCAGGCCACAAATATTTATTTCCATTTATACAAAAAGTAGGCTTATTTCTATCATTTATAAGTGATCTGTTGAGTAGGTTTGTGGATTGGATTTGGTCTGAGGGCCATAGTTTGGGCATCACTGATATAAGTTTTCGGTTACTAGCAATATTATAGAGTAGTTCTGTTGCAATGACTCTCCTAATAATGGACTTAATTACTTGAAAGTGATAGAGAAACAGTTAATTTAAATTTAAATGAATGCATGCCAAGGAAAAGGAATTTGGGTTTTATTAGAAAAATTGAGTTAATCGTTAATTTTATTTATTATATTTAATTGTTATGTATTTTATTTCAGATGGATATTTCATCATTAGAGAATAAAAGAATCTCTTTGAATAAGAGAACAGTTTTTAAAGGTGAAAACAGTTTACAAGATGGAAAAAATCATGAGATATCAGCCACAGAAATTATACCTGAAAATGTAAATTGTATTTAATAGTATTTGTGTGTTTTGTAAAACTGTTTTGAATTATTTATTAATAATTTGGTTAATGTTTTTTATTTGTTCTTTCAGCTTTTAAATTATCAATTAATTCTTCCGTCTAAGGAACATAACAAATTAAAACCAGGTAATATATAAATATATCTGAAAGATTATTATATTTATAAAATGCAGGGTGTTCCAAAATTGTCTTTACAACTTTGTAAGAGAATTTATTCAAAGGATTACACAATATTTTTAAATGCATAAATTTAGTAACACTCATCAAGTTTCATTTACGTAAATTTTTGCACTGAAACTTCCACTATAGTATGATTAATTAATCAATTCCAGAACTGTGGATTCGTCGGAGCGCACTAATAACACGGCCACCTCATTCCCCAGATGTAACACTTTTAGATGTTTTCTTGTGAGAATTTGTTAAAAATTGAGTGTACATGCCACCCTCACCTATAAATGTGGTTGAATTCTGAATTCAAAATACTATTGCAATTTAACACTTCAAACAACCTTTACAGCTCCAGCTGTATTTGTTTACACCTTAGCAAACGTTTTCAACCTCATCAAGGTCTTCATCAGGCTACTTTAATTAGGAATTCGAACGCGTTTGGAACGGAACGTATATGATTCAAAATTTATAAACAGATTAAGAATACTCATGGAACGTTACGCACGCGCTAAAACGACTTTAAAGCACGTGTAATATCAAGTTTGCGTAACAGTAGAAGCAAACGAATTATACATACTCATTAATGGGGATGAGTTCCCTCATAACAAAACTTCCACGCGCTAGATATACCGATTACATCCCTGGAGTTGATGCACATGCCACGTAATCCTGCCTTGTATATTTTTAAAGTTTCCATTGTTCTCAGTTGATCAGTGCGATGTGAGAGCCTGATAATGCGGGCATTTTGTATGTCGGCTGTGATTCCCGGTTCAGTGGCAACCGTTGAGAGGGCGGTGGTGTGTTTTTTATTGTCGATGTCACGTTTGTGCTCACGCAACCTTTTGTGAAGGGAGCGTTTGGTTGACCCCACATAAACAAAACTGCTGTTAAATCTATCATCCCAAAGCGGGATAGCATATACCCCCGATGCGTGTTTTAAGTCGATTGCGTCTTTCCCGTTGCGAAGCAAATTGTAAACTGATCTAGGCCTTTTATAAGCTATCTTAGTTTTATTGATGGATGAAATTTCTTTGTATAATGCGTCCAGATGGTGGTTGTACCCCACGATTTTTCTTGTACACTCGTTATCTAAATGCTCCCCAAGGACATTGGCAGTGTCCCGTGCGCAAGCCTGTACGTAAGCGCAAGCGATATTATGTACTAAGTTCTTATTATACCCATGTTGTGTGGCCATTTCCTGAACGTGTATAAGTTCAGCTATGGTGTCTTGATAATTGGAGTTGTGCGTGAACGCCCTCTTAGTTAAGGCCCTAAGAGCCACGATCTTGTAGGAGTACGGATCCTCCGAATTAGCGGGGATGAAAAGCGGTACATAGGACTCTTTGTAATAGACCTTGGATGTGATCACATTATCCTTAATTTGAAGGTCCAAGTCCAGGAAATGCTCGGCGGTGTTGCTTTTTTGGTCCAATTTTGATGTTCAGGCCATAGGGTTGTCATTCATTGAGTTAATGAACTGGTTGATGTTGGGTTCAGTTTTCCATATGATAAAGATATCATCAGCATATCTCCTGTACAGGAGGATGTTGGAAAGGTACAAGGGGATGATTTGTTGTTCCAATTTCCTGACTACCAACTCACACAAATCACCCGATAGGGAGCTCCCCATGGGGACTCCCCACTTTTGGAGGTAGGTTTTGTTATTAAAACGGAAGAAGGACAAATAACATAAGATGTGCGCTAACTCCAATATGTGTTTTTGATGTGGGGAGGCGCCGGGGTAGGCAAGTAATAAATCCCGTAGTTCGCAAAAGCACGGCTGGATTTTGATAGATGGGTGTAGAGAGACAAAATCAAGAACCGTGATACAAGCGGTGTTGGTTATGTTAATAGCCTTCAAGGCCTCAATGAGCTCAATCAGGTTCTTGATGGTCCAAGGATGCGGGCGCGTATGTGTTTGTGTACCGCGGTTTCTAATGCCCTGGTTGGAGATCTAGCCTTGTCAAGGACCAGTCTAAGAGAGGGTGGTTCCTTATGGGTTTTGGCGAAGGCAAGGAGCCTAGGCGTGTCAGGCAACGCCACCACCGCCCTGCAGAAGCCCCAATCCCTAGCAAAGCTTGTTTGTGTGATGCGCTTCATGCGTGCTTGTAGTCTATGCACGTAACCATCATCACAGTCCTCACAGTCAGTGTCAGTGATATACCCTTGCATCATAGAGGTATATGTGTCCCTCTTCATTAAAACAAGAGACTTGGTTTTGTCCACTCTGATGACCACAATGTTTTGCTCATTTAACCATTTCTTAGATCTATGTATTAGCCTCCAGAACCCATCATGCCTTTTTCGATTGTTTATTTCACAAATCTTGATAGTAGTCTTCCACCTATAATATTCTTTGTGGACGTCAGGTAATCCAGTGATGAGATGTTCTACGTTGGGCATCACCTTCTCCGGTTGTATGACATAATCTGCATGCGCATACATGGGGCAATGTGCTAGCGCACGGATGAGGTACGGTGGGGGGAAATGTTGTCCCAACATAACAGCGATAGGTTATGTAACGGTACAGTGGGCTTCTGTTTACTAAGAATCCACGCCAACTTTTTCTGATATTGTTCGGAAAGTTCTTTTTGGAGAATTCCTTGATAGATGGACACCCTCCTGTTGATTTCATGTAACATAGCAGGATTTTCCTGACGTAGACGATTCTCCAGGCTAATCAAGCTGTTAAGTTTAGAGTACACCGTTTTTCGGACCGATCGTATCGCTTTCCTTAAGCACAATGCACGGAGCTTTCTTAATCTGTTTATAAATTTTGAATCGTATATGTTCCGTTCCAAACGCGTTCGAATTCCTAATTAAAGTAGCCTGATGAAGACCTCGATGAGGTTGAAAACGTTTGCTAAGGTGTAAACAAATACCACTGGAGCTGTAAAGGTTGTTTGAAGTGTTAAAGTATAACTCCTATAGTGTTGGAAGATGTTTATTTCTTATACTATTGCAATTGCTCAATGACACCTGAGAGAGACATGTGGGAAGAAATTCACTATAGATTGGACATCCACCACATAACAAATGGAAGTCACATCGAACCATAAAAAGTCAATGAATGTAAAACTCAGTGTTTGACTACATTTCAATGTTCTAAAATTATATGTTTCTTCTATTGTTTCATCAATATATATAACCCTTTAGTCAAAGCTATTTTTGAAACACCCTATATTTAGTTAATTTTACTATATAATGCGTTTTTCTCATTATAGTGCCAGTATCCTTTAAGAATTATTTAGAAGTAGTTGAGACTTTGGATTTGCCAAATGAATTGAATGTTAAAAATGTTAATAAAGATATAGCCAATTTTGAAAATTTAAGACAACGATTTCTGCCGTTTGGTTCAAGTAAGTTATTTTTTTAAGATTTTAATAAATTAACACTTTAAAAATAAGAATTTTCTAATATACAAAGTCCAATCATTTAATCTGTACAATAATGCTAGATTTTTCCTTATTGATTTTTGTCTTTTGAGAACTTATCATACTTGAAATACTCTACTCTCAGTGTTCTTCCCAGGTCCTTTTCACTCGATCATCCCATCTGACTAATTTTTATTGCTGCCCTACTTCAGAAGAAATATATACCTATATACAAAAGGTGTGACTTATATTTCTCAAGTGAAGCTCAATCCCAATTTTTAATGCATAAACGTTTACCAGAACATGCAGAATTTAAACAAATAGTGTATTCTTTTCAATAGATCAATTAATACCTCTATGTGAACATATCTAAAATTATTGTATCATATCTCTGTGAATATCTTTAAAATATTTTAACCCAATTATAGAAAGTGAATATGTTTAAAAAAACAATAAATATATGGACTTTTTATATTGTGACAATATTTGTTTTGAAATGCATTTTAAAATTTCTGTAATTTCTGTAATATTTCTCAAATTTGTACTGTTTATTCTGTTTGAAATATTATTTAACTGATGAAACCTTAAATAAAGTAGGCAAAAATGCTATTTTAACATAAAAATATTATACTATTCTGTTTATGCACCAAGTTTAAAAAAGATGTTTTCACATAGACATGTTTAATGTTTTTCCTTATCAAAAATTAATAAAAATCTGTAAGTAAACAATGGGGGAAAGTCAAATTAGATTAATTTATATAGTTTTTTTTAAAAAACAAAAAAGTGGACAAAATAATGATAACAATTCCAAAACAGCTGGACCACCAATTTCAGACTGGGACACTAAAGCTATTATCAATAACCTTGTTCAAGATAAAATAAAGTTATTAACATGAGGGATCTTCCTGACAGTTATTTATTTATCACACAACTAAAAACATTTTTGGAGAGAACACTACCTCTATACATCTGTCATTGCTAGATGCATGTGTCATATGTTCTCTGGAATCCATTTTTAGACAAGAGATACACAGAGTCATAATACTGTCTGACTTATCAGATGTGAAATACTTTACTTTTGGAGCTTTCTTGCAGTCATTTAAACAGCTTGTCCACAAAGTCTATGTTAAGTTTTAGAAAAAAGTTTGATCTTCCACAAAACTGGAAAAATAATATACAGGTAAAAACTCTCTAACCTTGAAATTCTCCCAGCAGAGGGATGAAAGTGCAGAAAAACAAATGCTTTCAGTCTATGTCTAAGACCTGCTTTAGGTTACAACTTTTGCAGAAATGAAATGCCTGTATAATTGGCTAATATGAAGGCCTCAGCTCTAATTATAACATTGGCTGCACAATATTGGCAGTATGTGGTTAAACATTGATTATGATAGAAACTACTTCACACTAGTGAGTTATGTTTATGCAAATACAGCAATGCTTTATTCTGAGAATCTCAGCATATTCTTCATTATTTAAAGTTGTTCCTTGGGACCCAAAAATTGCAAAGACATAATCTGTGCTTTGAGGAATACAAATGGCAATTTATGATTTTTTTCTTTTTTCAATCTCCAGATTAGATGATGTGAAAAAGTGGCAACTTTACTCATATCTAAATTATAATTTCTTAATTCTTCAGTCCAAAACCTGAAATTAACGGTGTTTTCTTCATTTCTTGTGTTATGGTATCCTGGGCACTAGAATAACACTTGTTTAAATTGGTCAAGGCAAGCCTTGTTTTTACTATAAATATTTTTTAATGACGTGAAAAAAATCTCAATAAATAATATGCAACTACTAACTAGTTTTAGTTTATTTATTGTACAGAGATATAATAAGTTTTTCATTAACAATATTTTGTTGTTGAATTGAATTTAAAAACTATATTGGCTAAAAAAGTGTTCTGTTAGTTCATATTTTTAGCTAGGAATCAAGATTATAAGTATAAATATAAATAATATATATTATAAAGGAGCCTGAAATTTAAATATGGTAAAGGCTTCATTTATCTTAGCTTTAGGCTTTATGTTCTTAAATCAGTGTGTATTATAGTTATTTATCTAGTTCCAATATCATTATCATCATTGCTTTCTATGAAAGTTAATTTTTATTTTTGCATTAGCAATAGATTAAATTTTTATATTATGATCATCATTTTTAGACTTAATTGATTATAAATAAATTATATTTTAATATATGCATCTATTTGCAGATGATCCATTGCCATTTATTAGAAATCAAAATGTTAAGAAGATGAAGAAGAAGAAAAAACGCAACCATTAAATTCCCCCTTTTTTTACTTTACTTTGGGTTCAGGGAATCTCCTGAATCCTTCCAAAAAAGCCATCGAGATTTACAAAAATGAAAACGGGGAGTCAAATTCGATACTGTTCCTATACTTTCCCGTGTTACGTACTGTACATAACAAGTCGGGAAAGTAAAAAGACCAAACATTTATAATTTGCTGCAATTGATATAACATCAGTTGCAGCAATTTATAAAGGAATTGTGAAAAATTACTATAATAACGTCTTCTTTTACAATAAATAAAAATATTAATAAAAATTATTTAAAACTATGGAGTCGTTTTTTATTTCATTCACTTAATTGTATTATAAAAAAATATACGGAAATACAAAAATATTAATATCGTCTTCGTGGCGTTAAACTAAAATACAAAATTGATAATACTGCGATTTTAAATTTTATTATTATTTTTGTTCTATCGAAATAGTGTAATTCAATTCGATTTTGTTATGCGAATTTAATGAATAACGCATCACATCGTTATTTTCGGTTTCATGAATCCCGGGCACAACACATCCGTTCCGTCTGTAAAAAGATTTTTTTTTCCCACTAGCGATGCTTTGCACGTGGCACACAAGAAGATTCGTTATGCCAATTTCGGCCTTCGAAAGATGTATAGTGCGTTTCACTAATGCCTATAAATATATTGCAGCCGCAGCATCTTTTTTGCAAACAAATTTCCGAAGCCTTCGACACAATACAGTTTATCGTCTTCGTTGCCATAAATAACATCGTCGGTGGTAACAATTTGATGGCACTCGAAGCAAGGTAAACCGAACTTTTGTTGGTAACAATTGTTGCAATGTATGTCGTTACCTATTTGAACGAAACCTTTGTTGCCTACGAGGTTAGCGCAGGCTTTGTGCTATTACTTGTCTCGGTACGTTAACATTTTTGTACCTAAAAATTAAATTTTAAATATAATTTTACGTCGATTTTAAATTACGAGAATATCCAAATGTTTCTTTACCCGCTTGAAATATTTGCCACATTTGTCCACATTGTAAGATTTTACGTCACAATATTTGCCACATTTGTCGCATCTGGAAGCGAAAGCTGCGTTGTAACACGCTTCGCAGTAGATTTGGATATTTTTCCAGATGAAAGGTCATTCTATCAACGGAATGCGGCATTTATTACATACAAAGCATTCTTCGTGTCAATGTTTATCTTTGTAGCAGAGATTCTAAAAAGAATTTTTTATTAATTTCATAGATAGATTAATTTTTATTTGTTAACATCTTACGTTGGAACGTATTCCTATTGTTCTTCCACATTCGTGGCAAATATTACAATGCACTTCTTCGTAACAGCGGGTGAAGAATGGACGATCATCTCTTACATTAAGTTTTTGACTACTTAGAGGTTCGTCGCATTTCAATGGCAAAAATGATTTGGGCGCCAGTCTTTTGACATTGATTTGATGTATTCCCCAAAAATCAGCTGAAAATCCAAGAGTACGATATTAATTTTTTTATTTGTGAATTTTTAAAAAATAATCTAAAATCTGTCATCTCGTCGCAGGCCGCGCATCGAGGTCTTATTTGTTCCTCGTAAATTTTTGACAGTAAATTTTTCCCCTCTAGAGTACAACAAATCAAATCCACCAATAATTCACCACATACCGAACACACGAATCTACTCGGATGGAATGGATTCTCTTCACCTAATTTCGAATTGACTATTGCTCCACAACCGTACCATTCCTGAATATTGAAAAATCGTTTTAATTGAAGTAAAATTTAAATATTCTTTTTTGCATCCTTACCGAAGTACGTTCCACAGCATTTTTGGCATAAGCGATATCCATTGCTGTTTCATCGCTTTCGTTAATAAAGTCTATATAAAACTGTTGATACTCTTTACAGAATTTCATAGGAGTCTTGATCGGGAAGTTGTATGATTAGTTGTTTTTACGATGTCTTTCATTATGAGTTCCAGATTTAGACACTTCTCCGGAAGGAATCCAGGCGAAGTACGATTGGATCTGAAAATACGAAAACCAATCGAGATGACAAGTCTGTAACTTTCGTTGAATTATAACTAATTCCTTCTCAAATTACGGGAGTAATCAAATAAAAACAAAACCTTTAATAACCAGTAACAGAACTTTAACGACAAATTCCGAACACCATAAAAATCGTAAAAGTGCGACCATACATTTTTAAGATGTACCGGTACATACTGCATGAGATGAAATTAATATAGGTTAATTTTACCCGAATTTAATACTGTAGCATTATATTATTAAAATCATCTATCACAAAAATCCGCCATGAAAGAAAGTTAATTAATAACTGAATCTCGTTTGAGATGGGCGAGGCGTTACCCTCATTATAATCACAGAAAAGTATCCTGTTAATGTCCAATGGACGTTGAATCAAAAGAAAAAAGCTAATTAATGTAAGAACTGAAGATAAATAAATTATAACGACTTTTAATTTCGATGTGTTTCAAAAATATTTCAGAAAGTATTACAGGTGATACGAATCAAAATAAATAAAATTTCAATGAATATAATATGGATCCTTTTTAAATAAAGAAAGCATTTGTTAAGTCTAATTCTATGTCACGACTTGGTGCATTTATCGACACTAGGCAAATAGTTTCGTCATCCACTTTTAATTCATACAGATACGCGTTTCGGGCTTTCGCCCCTCTTCAGTCTGTTACATCGATAAGTTGTATCCAGTATCAGTCAGGCACCTTCCGTACTTCCCACTACCCTACCCTCCACTCCCCTCCCCTCCCGACTTGACGGTCTCCCCCGCATGCCTCGTAACTTTTAACGTCACTTTCCCGAGAGCTGCATACACTTTCGCCTGCGACAGTATAAACATTCTATTTTATTTTAATAATTGTAGCCAGTTTTTATGGATGTCAATGATTAGGTTCCTGTTAATATTATTATGGTCCGTAGTAATTTCGTAGCTTTCCTTGAATTTTCTTTTGTACCAATTTTTTTCTTTGTGTACTATTATAGCTTCATTCTTATCTATTTTGCAGTTGTGGGTTGTGCAATGTTCGTAAAAAACAGAGTTGATTCTATTATACTTCAGGTCCGCGATGTGTTCTTTTAATCTTGTTTCAAATTTTCGTTTCGTTTCTCCAATGTATACTTTTGGCGGTTCGCATGTGCACGGTATTTTATAGACGACATCGGTAGTGTTGTATTTGTCTGGTTGTTTATTTCTGTTAGGTTCAGCCTTCCGAATTCTTTTTTGCAGCTTGTTGTAGGTTGGAGCTAGCTTTATATTTATTTTATCGAAACTTTTGTTTACCTGTTCAAAGAGGCCACGAATGTAGGGGAAGGGTATGTATTTTACTGTGTTTTTTTCTTTGTTTTGTTTATTTTCCTGCCTTTTATTGTTGATTTTTCTTTCCCAGTTATTTAGTATTCTTTGGGGATAGCCGTTTAATAGGAATTTAGTTCGTAGTTCATTGAGGTGTTTTTTCTTCTTCTGTAGTGAGCTTGTTCTCACTACAGAAATACTGCCACAAATACTAAAAAGACTAAAAAAAGAAGCATAAAAAAGATAAAATATGAGTGTATAATATTCTAATAAATACATTTCTTTATAGAAATAATTTTTATAAAATTTAGTAGTATTGTATTTATAATTTTAGAAAAAATGTAATTTATGGCTATTTCCAGTGGTGCATTTGTAAATATGTCATGTATAAGCCCACAATACGCAGATTTCCCAGTTGCCTGAACAATGCACTGAATGATTTTTTTTTATAATTTTAATTCTGCAAAAGTTGTATTTTTACAGTTTTTTAAATACCTAAGAGGGGTGGGCAACCCTTGGCACGTGCCAAATGAGACCTTCTTAACAGGAAAAAATAGTATGCTATTTTGGTTTATACAGATTATACTGTATACACAAGAATAAATCTTACTCAGAAAAAATTTAAAAGAATTTTAATATGTATAATATTCAATGACAAGAATTCAAAAGTCAATTGTCCCGCTGTAAAGAACTCTAAGCTTAGTTTGGATCATATAACTACCAGCCATAGCTAATACTTTGCCCGTCTTAATGAAATTTATCAATAGAAATTAAAAATCATTAAAAATCAAACATAGCAGCAATTCAAACCTATCATTTTGATACAAAGTCAGTCAAAAGGCACTGAATTTCATTATACAAAAGAATTGTCTAATTTTACACTGAATTTAACTTTCAATGGTGCATTGTTTAGTATCTTTTTATAATTCAAATAATTCCAAAAAAAGAAAATGGAATAAGTTTTCACAAATTTTCAAGGGATCTAGTACAGAGATGTGTAAAATTAATGAGCAGACGAAGTTAGTAATTTAAATATGTATTGATATACTGTTTTACATATATTAGTTAAAACAGTGGCAAGGTTTAAGGTGGGGGAAAATATTCTGTAGCATTTTAGCTAATTTTACTAAAAAAGTAGCAAAATTTTAGAAACCGTAGCTAATATTTTTCATCCGTGAGGCTGACCAGAACAATACACAATACATTATTGTTTGAACATTTGTTTATTTTCATAGATGCTGTACATTATTACAGTGTACTGCACTACCAATATAATCATAAATCTATCATTACAACCCACAAGCATCATATATTATTGAACAATTCTTGGTTTTGATTCACACCCGCCAACAAATGCAGAATGAAAATCAAATTCCCATCTTGGGGGGCCATTTATGGAGATTTTTAAGAAGTTGCTGACATTTTTTACATTAAGACAGTTTCCAATTCACCAAAATCTTTCACACGCAACAGTATGCAGTGGACATGAAAGAACAAATTCAATAACTTGATATACGAGGGTAATCTGAGAGAAAGTCATTTACAACTATCATATTCTATGCACTGTAAAGTACATAAGAAAATAAAGTGGATTTGAAAAAGTCCGGTGTCTAGTGTCAACACTTCATGGTGTTTCAAAAAATATATTAAATAAAATTATTTTTAATATTTATGTTTATTTACAATGATAAAACTCTTGAGATAACACCTTAAATACTTTTTAACAACAGTTTAATTTGTTGAAGTGGACAGCAGGATGGCCGAGCCGTCAATATGGCATCCTACCACTCTCGGAGACCCAGGATCGAAAAATCCCTGTCCCTCACCACCCGGCCTACCACACTCCCATTATACTCCGCATTGTGGTCCTGGCTGATTCCATAATGGGCTTGCTAAAAGGGGTTTTTAGTGCCCACGGGGCGGAAAGAGAGAGGGGGAAGAAGACTTTCAATATCGTGCATTAGAAGAGGGATCGATTTCCTAAAATTTTATTTTATAAATAAAAAAAAAATTCATATAAAAATTTCCCGTTAAAAGAAATTAATTTTATAATTTTTTATAGCCATTAATAAACTTATTTATTATTATTTTTTTGAAAATAAATTATCTTTAGAAAAAATAATTCCGCTAGAGGGCGGATTATTTCTGTTTCGGTTGCGGAAATTAGGAAAGTTTGTTGAAATGGCGAAGACGTATGCGACATATTTTATTTGTGAAAGTAACTTTAATACGAATTAACGTTAAACGGTAAGCAGTTTAAAAAAATGTATTCGTTAATTACTATTTTGTTCGTTTGTTGGTCTTACGTTTGCGGAATGAATAATATTACTTCTAAGGTGTTTGGAACCGACACGTCAGGGTTGTTAGCAGCATTTGGAGACTTTAATTCTGACAAATTAACTGATATATTTAGAATATCCAATGATAGAAGAACTGTGGATATTCTATTCGGCCGCGACGTAGAGCCCATATTACAGAAATCTTCGGTTAAATGTAGATTTGATGCCAAAACAATTATAACGAGCGTCATGCCGTCAGATTTCGATGGAGACAGCAAAATGGATGTACTCGTTACTACTATCACGTCTGATAGCGAGAACGAGACCAACGAAGTACGCATACTGTGGGGCAATAAGAGTAACTTGGACTGCGACGAAGATACGCACTTCGCCGCCATCGGTCAGCCTCTTGTGTTCGATTACGACGGAGACATGATTGCAGATCTGTTTGGGATGAACGAACGAGGAATCAAGACCGTTTGGACTTTCGGTGCTGGAAGAAATTTTACGGAGATTCGTCTCGGCCACGATCGGTCGAAGCTCGCCATACCCCACTCTTGCGCCTTCGTGGATCTGAATGGCGATATGGTCGCCGATCTGTTCGTGACCTGCGAAGAGTCGATACAGTATTGGATAAACGATAGGGGAAAGTTTGAGTTGAACGTATCTCTTCCGTATCCCAAAGATGCGGTTCTTCGCGGACAAGTTACTTTTGGCGACATAAATTCGGATGGAGTTTTGGAAAAGATACTGCCCGTCTGCAAGGATCCCTCGTGTTTTTCTTCGTCGATAATGGTTTGGGACGAGACGAAAGAGGATTGGGAAACGCTGTTTTCGGATTTCCAGAGAGACAATGCCACTTGGGGATTTGGGCCGTTGGGTAGAACTGTGTTGGAAAAATCTACTTTTCCGATCGTGTTGAGAATGGCAGATTTCAACATGGATGGGTATCCAGATTTTTTAGGTATCGTTCAGTCGAAAGTAACAAATATATCAAAAGCAATTCTTTTAATAAACAAAGAATGTTCTACGTGTCCGTTTGGTAGAACTCTGCATGCAGATTGGACCTTAGCTGACTTGGATCATTCGAATAATAATGTACAGATAGCAACGTTTTACGATATATTTCAAAATGGAAAAATGGATATTCTTTTAGTAAGTCAAAATAATAACAAATGGCAAATAAGTGCCATAGAAAATATTGTTAGTTATGATGCTTATTTTATCAAAGTGTTGGTCTTGAACGGTTTGTGTTATGTCGACTGTGTCGACGGAAATATTCCTTATGGAACTAATTATCCTGGACCATTTATTAAATATTACACTACTGATTCAGACAGTAGTAAACGAAGAAGTTCCTCAGTTCAGTTACATCAGTCTGCGTATTTTTCTCTTCAGCTGCCTTATAGCGTTTTTGGTTTAGGAGAGACTCCAAACTTTGTCGATAAATTATACGTGACCATTCCAGGATTTTCTAACGATAATGTTCGTAAGCACGAATGGAATCAAATAATACCAAATTCTCAAATGGTGATAATTCCACATCCTCCAGAAAATCCAAAAAAATGGGTAAATAAACTATTTGTTACTCCCAGCAGACTAGTTATTTTAACTTTGCTGGCTCTTGTAGGAACATGTATTGTTATCTGTACTATAATTGGTTTACTTCACTGGAAAGAGAAGAGGGAAGATCGTAGAGAAAAACTGCAAGAAGCTCATCGATTTCATTTTGATGCAATGTAATAAAATTACTAAAAATGCATTTTTGTCTGTCGGTATATAACATATTTAAATCAAGCCGATTCAAGGATATTTTTACTGTTTTTTACGATCAGATTCTAGTCCAAAGCAAGGTCATTATTATAAACATTGAAACATTGTAGCAATGTTTATATTCTTATCATATAATTTGTTTATTAAGATCATTATGAGATTTTTAATACAGAGGCAATTGATTCATCTATATAACTGGATGTAAAATATTGTGCTACATATTTTGAAGAAAATAGAATATTGAAACTTATTTATTAAATGTGCACATTTAATTTAAGTTAATTTTGAATAATTTTGTAATGAATGTATTACATAATTCTCAAGAGAATTATCAGTTTTTTTTAAAACTAAATTTTAAGAAATTTGAAATATCTTCAATTGTAAAATACTGTACATTGTGTAACCAGTATCAGAATTTCATTAAAACATTGTTATTTTTTGATAAGATGAAAATGCCCTAAAAATATAATATTTTGCTAAGGACAAATATACCGTATTTACTGACATATAAGATGACTTCACATACAGGACGAGGTGTGACTTTAAAGATCAAAATAAAGAAAATTGGATTTATTAATACAATTCTACTTTTATTTCATTTAATTACAAGTAAAATATCAAATGAATGTAAATGCACACATTGTCTATGCAAAAATTACTGGCATAAGGAAAAATGTAAAAGCGAAAACATAATTTGTTCATGTAAAGCTGGAAAATCAGGAACCTTTTTTTGCCAATTCTTAACAGTCAAATCCACTCTTTGTATTACACTTATGAGTTTCTCTAAATTCTGATTTCCAAATAATCATCTGTTTTCACATGGAAATGGATTAAAACTTATATCGTGCTCCCATGTGATTTTGGAATTTCAATTTCAAAGCTTTTGAATTGAATTTCAATTTGGAATTCAATTCAAAAGCTTTGCTTTTCCCATTGCTATTCATCTTTTTGCTCGTGCATATAGGACGACCTAGGAATTTGAAGCTGTGATAAATGAATAAAAACTTTGTCTTATATGCGAGTAAATACAGTATAGTAATCATAATTAAAAATTAATATTTAAAAATCATTCTAATCATTTTGTCTAATAATAATTTATTTTAAGACAAAGATTTTTAATTATAAGAACTTATATTTTTTGTTCACATGCTTAAAATTTATGTATTTATTTTCTAATAGTTCATGTATTTAATGATAAGTAACATTCACAGTAAATTAGAGTACAGGTAACCCCCGTATAACATGGCACTTCTATAGCATGGATTCACTCTAACACGGTTTGAGAATTGGTACCATCCCCCGTATAACACAGTACTTTTATAGCACGGATTCACTCTGACACGGTTCGAGAATTGGGTAAAACCCTCGTACAACGGGAAATGTAATAAATTTTTACATACTTAGTAATAATAGTTCACAAAAATTATTATTTTCGTGAACTATTAGTACTTAAGTATGTAAATTTTCTCTTCTCGCCTTCTATCGATATATGTGGTCCTTCTCGAAACTTGTTTCAATGTTGCAGATCGCGACGCTTTCGCTTTCGCTTCTGATGTTGCCGAATGTTTTTCCCTTATTCCATACTTGCTTTATTCTTCATAAGTGCTTAGCATCATATAAGGAAATTTATAAAGACCTTTTAACTAGAAGCAAGCAATCTAAAATTACATACTTTTTGCAAAAGGTAAAGCATGGATCTGAAGATAATGCAGAAAAATGCTCAGAGGATAAGGATAACTTGCCAAAAAGAAAACGCTCTCGGTTAATTAATAGTGTTTTTAGTGATGACGAAGAAAACATTGTTTAATTTATATTAATATGTATCACTTAAAAAAATTTTAATGAAGATATTTATCTTAATTACGAAAATATACTAGCATGTTTTTTAATTTTTGGAACCTAACCCTCCTTTTCGTATTAGTTCTTTGTTTCGTATAACACAGATTCGCATAACACGGCAATTTTTTGGCAATTATGTTCTTGTTGATGTTATATATAATTACACTCACAGTAATACAATTGCATTTATAATCTGATTCTTTAAGACCACAAGTATTGCTTATGTATATTATTTTTGATGTTTCATTTATAAAGCAACAATATAAACAATCATACATTGTTAAGTTAGATGCATTCAAAATAAGAGAAAGCTCTTAAAAAGATGTGAAAACTAGGGCATTTATAACATGATGATCCCTATTCAATTGATAACCATTTCAAGACATCTACGCCAACTTCTAACTTTATTACTTTTTTTATTTTTATTAATCATTTTCTGTTGATTGTAAAGTGTAACTATCTTCTGTTTGACAAGGATGCAGCAATATGCTGGTGCATCTTCATGCCATTGTTGTTCACTAAATTTGGATGTTACCTCATAACATCCAATTTTTCATCATCTGCCCCAGTGTACAGATGTTTCACACTGCAGCTTTTTTCTCCTACCATATCTCAAAGGTGTGCTTTGCTGTTTGGGTGGAACCATCGAGGTTTCAAAGGTGGCATTCCAGCGAAGTTTGAAAAATGTCTTCTGGAAATGTTTTCAGCAGCGGTACAAAAGATGACAAAAGTGCATCCATAGCCTAGGGGAATTATCTTACAGTATGTTGAAAAAGGATGTGTTTAAATGAAAGTTATGTTCACTTACTTTTGCATACTTAGTCCGAGAAATTATTAACTATGGCTTCATATCATATTATTACAGGATTCAAGTATAAAACTCATATAGAAAAACCTTGCAGATATGATTTTTAATGAATGTCTTGCATTTAATTTTCTTCCATTTTTTACACACCAATTCAAATTTTAATTGATATAATTAGGCACTTTAGACACTTCAAACATCAACAGTGTATAAATCTATATGCTTTGTTATATTACAATTTATCAGTTTGTTATCCTATAAGGGAGCTCATCCTTTGTCACTTGTGTATATAAATATAACAATTGTGCCAATCCCTCTTCAGGCTAGAAAGAATTATACAGTTCCAATCTGAAATGCATTGTTTTCAATAAAGGACAATTTTAATTGGTCTTGGTCTCTGTTCCACTCAGAGTATGTAATATATTAGATCAACATTTAGTCTCAAATTGTTTCAAAAGAAAATAATTTAAAATATAACAAGCAATTATTTATTGTGATATGATCACAATGCTGGCTGCAATTTTTAATCATGTTTTTATTCAATTTAAAATACATGCTCTCCACCTAAAATAAGTAGTGGCTTGCACTATACATCATACTTTTCCCATTAGCAATGAAGTTGTGCTGGTCATCTATCTCACTCCTTTCAGGAGAAACTTTTTGAATTGAAATAACGTAACTTCCAGTTTGCACAGGAAATTCTTATAAGTAATCGGGGCCTCTGTCCCTAAGGCTTCCATATCTGGGGTCCTGAATTTCATTTATTTAATACCATTCTAGAGATTAACCAGTAGTATCTCATTATTAATGTCCCTGTTAGCATAGGTGATATGGTGATATAATGGTGTCTCATATTTTTATTTCAAAAGATAAAATTTTTTTCCCTGTCTCATATTTTATGCTCAACATTTCCCATACGTATAGAAAAGATGAATACTCCATTAGATTTTAACACTATCTGAAGACATTGTGTATTTCTCTTTGTAAAATTCTGATCTTAACAAATGCTGTTGCAAAAGTTTTGAAGTGTGTCTAATATTCATCCACATTGACCCTATTTAGAAATTTTAGAAGTTTTTAGGATAATTTATATTAAAAATATATAATTTCTGGGTGACAGAAAATTTTAATTGTTAATTTCCTTTAATTTTTGGCTAAATGATTTCAAATTCAACATTATGACAATTTGGTTTCATTTAATGTATTTGTTACAATATTTACAAATTTTATTTTATCTATGACTTTTCCGAAAGATTCTTGATTATAAGAGGATTGGTGAAAGTATGAGACAGATTCAACAATATACAGTAGAGCATCGATTATCCGACTCAATTGGGGACTGGGGCTGGTCGGATAACCGAAAAATATGAAAAAATCCATTATTAGTGTAGTATATTATTATATCCCATGTAATTAGTATATTAGTATATCGCTATTAACCTACTTCGCGTTGAATTTTCCTCCATGTTAAGCCTATCAAATTTTTTAAAAAAATAATTGTCACTATTGTATCGTTAAAAATTAGAAAATTAAGCCTCGTTTAAATACTGGCTCCCTTTCATGGTTGATCCAGTGTTGCCAGCTAAAACACGTAAAAATAATAATAAAGTAGCCAAGATATAGCCAAATATTGTAACGCCACATCACTAGCGGACATTTGAATTTGCCGACTAGAACGCGGTCAGTTAATCAATGCTCTACTGTATTACACATTTAAAATGCAATTCTTAAACTCATTCATTTAACTGTAATTAAAACCACATCATCACATGCTGCATTTTGTTTTATCCTGAAGCAGAAACCAAATTTACTTCAAAGAAATTATTATTAATTTAATTTTAGCACCATAGTATATATCCAATAGAAAATGCTAATAAATTTAAAAAAAAAATCTACTGTATTATTATTAGTGCAAATTTTAAAATATAATTATCATTTTTTCCCCTGATAATGTAAATAAAATTCCAAACACAAACTGCTTCAAGACACACCTTTATTCCTAGAGTTGTTTGGAAATTTAATACATTTGTTAACTGCCATCTGAACATTAAATACAATCATAACAAATGCATCAATATGTGGTTGTCGTATTCCACAATAGAATCTCTCAGATCTTTAGTTGATGGTGAAAAATATGACACCGTGTCAATGGTTTGTAACCGCTGAACAGAATGTAAAATTCTCACCATAGTATAACAAGAGTGTACATACAATAAAAAGTTTTGATCTCAAGTCATGCTTTTAGCTTTATTATGATATATATCATTTAAGACACTTTCAAACCATAAATGCCTTTACAATACTTTTACAAATTATTGTATGATAAGGATATTTCAAACTCAACCAGAATATTTAACATAAAAAAGCAGTAAATTTCATATCTTAAAAGTATATAACTCAATATTCCGTACACCAATTTGTATATTAAATATTTTATTATTTAAAATATCACACCAAATTGATTAATATTTCATAAAATATATTAAAACTTAATATAAATGCATTTACAAGTTAAATAAAAAGCAAACTAAAATGTAATAATGCAGAGTTTCAGCAAACTTTAGACTAAGCAGTATTGTCAAAAAAATTTCATAGTCATACTTTACTGTATATATGTATATGTATATATTAAAAACTAATAATTACGCAAATAAATTATCGTCGTTTATTATTATTATATTAAATGACAAATTTAATTGCATAGTTTTATATAGTTTATATCTTATTGCAATATCGAAAGAAGGCAAGTTCATCATCTGATATAACAATCTCAAGCTGAAACCCTGCGTACAAAGAAACAAAATTAGAAAATACTCAATATATCATACTTAAATGTTGGCAGATTCCACAAATGTAAATAAATTTCAAGTTTCATAATCTTACTATTTACATTATTTATATATTAAAACTTTTAATGGTGAGAGAAAATATTTTACATATAAATACAAGTACTAAAAACAAAAAGTACCTGATATTATTCCTGATTTAACAATAAAATTATTAAGTATAGAAATTTTAAATATATATATATATATATATAATATATTTTTTCTTCTGTAAACTCTCTGGGGAAAAATATGTATTTTGAATTATTTGAATCAGTATAATGATGTATTGTGGTATTATTATTTATGTCCACAAGTGATTACTTTAATCTAGTAGTCTCCAATTTAATATATTTTATCTAGAATTTATCACTAATTTGTTAATTTCGATAGTATATATACCGAACAGTATAATCTTCACATGCTGTAACTATGTTAATTATACTGTTATATATATTAATCAAATTTATCAATCCTATGTTTTTTGTTGCTTGGAGACTTTGACATTCAATCAAACTAAATCTTAGTCCTGATTTTTAAATTATATATTTATATATATATATAATATATATTATACATATCATTCTAAAGTTCTTTGATTTTTTTTAAATTATCATATTTGTTTCAAAAAGTGATACACTATATGATTCAACAGATAGGAGTGATCTAATTATGTAGAATTTGCTACAGACCATAGATAATTTACATATATTAGAAAACACATTAATAAACAACTATGTAATGCAAGAAAGACCGATACAAGATCTGGTGAAGAACAAGCACAGTATTGCAGATGAAGTTGTCTGCTGTTTATCCAGCAGTTTTAATTTGCAGAATGGTCAACATTATAATTAATTTTCGTTGTTTCAAATTGCTGATTTCAGCACCTTTTTTTTTAATATATATATATATTTTAAATAATTAAGACATACATTTTGAGGAAAATTCATTCAATTATACATCAATAAAGAATAGACTTGGTATATTTTTATAATTAATATCATTAAGAGAGAAAATTAATGTCAATTTATATAAATTTAACTGTTAATGAATTATGTTAATTATCAATTTAATATAATAAAAAGAAATATGACTAGATCTATAAAAACAAAATGTTTTTATAAAGATAAATCAGAACTCCTTTTCATAGGAAGTGAGTTGAATGTATATATATATGATTCACATTATATTGACTACATCTATATAAAAGAATCACAATTTAATATACATAACAGTATGTGGATGGCATAACAAATATGAGCCTAAAATACTTCCTCCTCCTTTAATTATCAAATGGAATTGTCAAATTTAAAATTTTATTGTTAGTTTATTATACAGAAGAATGGATTATTGTTGTTATCTTTTATTTAAGATACATCTAACCAGAGTAGATGGCTATGGAAAAGAAAAATTGAGATCTTAGTTAAAATGTATTAACATAAATAAAGAAAAAAAATGACTAGAGTTTTGATTCTATCTACAGCATAGTATTTTCTTTTTTTTTTTTTTATCACTATTGGAATTTACACAACTGATGGCTGAATACAGCAGTGACTTTCACATAAATGTTCGATGAGATCAGAATACATGGAATGTAGAGGACATTGGATGTAAATGCATAGTGACTAGCAAATCTTCCCTGACTGTTAATAGAATTTATTTGCTAATACTGATCTGCAAAATTTCACACTTGTGGAAACTGTCATAGTCTTTACAATATCTCTCTTATTATTTAAATTATCATTTAAATAGTTTTGACTTTTATCTAAAAATTAATAACCTTTCAATGACTAGACAGATAATTAAACATAGGTTGTGGAATTTAATAATTTTTTTAAATTGCTTTTTTGACTAACCTTTATTTAATGTTTCAGAATCGTTTTGATAACAAATCGGTATGCTGTTTGGAAACTTGCTCTCAATCTATTTGGTTTTTATACATAAATAAATATGAGCAAGATTGGTTTGGTGACTATCAATTATTGAATTTGCAGAATTGTGCTGCATGTTAGAAGTACTTAAAGAATTAAAAATTCAGAAAACCTCCCGAAAGTTTATTTGCAAAGCCACCCATTCCACGGCCAATGGTAGTTATACGTCCAACAACATTTTGCGTAGCATTTTTAATGCTGCTGACGTATCCCTCTGCACCTTCTTCTTGGCTAATGGATGCTACTCTTGCTTTGGGAACTCCTTCTTCAATACCAGTTTCTGGATAATCTCTTAAGTAAAATAAACATAAATTATTAATAATAATAATATATAGAATAATTTTGGCATTAAAGATATTTTAACTTGTAAAATATTCAAATTTCTACATAGATTCCACCACCAGTTATAAAATTTCCATTTATTATAAAATATATAGTAATCATAAGTTATTTATTGTAATTTGCTTTTCTTAAATATTATAAATCTGTTGACCAAGAAGAAAATTATTATAAATTTGATGATAATATATTAATTTGCAGCAATCTTATTTGCATTTCTTTAAATTAATTTTTGAACTTTAATTATAATTTCCCTCTCTCTCCTACTTCAATTATATAACTAATTCTTCTCAACATCTGTAAAATAAAGTAGTATTCAAAAATAAATTAATTGTCAGTCGAAAGTCTGTAATCAATAGTTCTGTAAAGTATTGGAATGTTCTCATGTATTTTTCACTTCAAAGCAGGGCTGTGGAATCGGAGTTGGATGGTAAGAAAAAGTCAGAGTCGGAGTTGGAGTCGGTAGATTTTTACACGACTCCACAGCCCTGGCAGGGCTGTTGAGTCGGAGTCGGAGTTGGATGATAAGGAAAAGTTGGAGTCAGAGTAGGAGTTGGAGTCGGTAGATTTTTACGCGACTCCACAGCCCTGCTTCAAAGTATTCCAGAACTGAAAAATACTCCTAGTATTACTATATATAGCAGCAATCTTCCACAACTACTAGCTTCTTCATGGGCATTTTCCACCAAAATGACTTATATAGCTGTGCTTCTATAACATCCTCATTTTACATGCTATCCATTTATGTAAAAATTTCAGCTGAAAAATTTTTTACACTTATTAAACCTTCAAAAAACTGTTGTGGAAAATTGCTGCCTTATGCAAGCAATCACATAATTGCAAGCATAAGGTGGCAAGTTTTCTCTCTGATATTATGATAATCTGATTCCATTTTTAATGACATGATTACTGTAAGAACATCATGCATGTTTGTCAGCTATGCAAGACATAATGACATGGTGGTCTGCAACTTGCTATGACCCTGAATGCTTGGCTCTGTAAGATAGCCTGGAGTGCTATGATCTTCAACAATTTAAATGTTTTTGTGGCTTCATTTTATGCCTTCAAAAAATAGAAAGACCAGAAAATGATTTTTCTCTAAGAAATATCTCAACCCTCCCATCATTTATTTCCAGGTGAACTTGTTTTACACTAGCCCATTCTATTGCAAAGTTTGAAGAGCTCCCTGTGGGAACCTGGTCAGGAACATTGCTCTGTAAACAAAACACTATCTTGTAAACTAAACAATGTATGACACTGAAATTTAGCATATGCAGAGATCACATTATAGGATTTTTCAGAATAGCAATCAGGTAAAATATAATTACATGTGAAAAATTACTGCCTTATGCATGCAATCTGTAAAAAAACTGCAAGTGATCACAAAAATTAAATTAAAAATAATTTTTAATCTTAACAATTTGTTAAATTTGTGAGGTCATTCTATGTCATCATATTTAACGAGTAGTTGGGTCAATTCTGCATAATATTTATGATCTTTTGTTTTGCTTTTTATGCTGGTTCTTATGTTTCAGAAAACTCAAAAAATGATTTATCCAATGTTTTTTTCCAATTTATATTTATAAATGTTTTAATGTATGCATGTATATTAAATTCAATAAATTATTAAAGATTACTTATAATCATGAATGAATTATATTTTTAAAATATAAGAGTTACTATATATTCAGTAATAAATGAAAACAGATAATTTGGAATCATTTAATATACTCACTTTTAACTATTTCATATTATTTATGCTGAAATTATAATAACAGCTTTTGATATAAAATGTAACAAAACAAATAGCATAATTTATATTATATTTATATAAACAAAGCATAATATTATTGGAAATTTCATAAAATTAAAATTTTTCTGTTTTAAATATATTTTGCCTACTCTGAATCTTCTTTCTCTCGGTTTGCAGCTTCTGATACAGATGCCGTTGCATTTTCCAATTGTAAACGACTACTAATAGTTTGATAAATTTTGGAATTTAATTTTTCTTCTTCAATTCCTTGTAACTCAAAATCAGAATATAATTTCTGGAAAGAAATGATGAATTTATAAATAAACAAATATAATAATGAAATATATTTGCCCTCTTATTTAATTAAAGCCCAAAATAGGATTTATTTTAATAGTTCATAAATTTCTAATATATTTTATCTTTAAAAGTATCAGATTATATATTAATACATTTATTATATCTATGATACTAAAAGCTTTTAAATAAACTGGCAGTTTCATATGAAAATTAATGTTTTTAAATACTTTTAATATTTATGAATTTTGAATTCAATGAATTCAGGATCATATAATGAATGCAATTTGTAGTCTAGGAACAATGTACTAGTGAAAATACTTAGTTGTTTTTCTTTCACCTGTATTTTTATTGTTATTGCAATTTATTATCATTTCTCAGTTCTATAATAATTCTAACAATTTCAGAAAAACTAACACTAAAAAAAAAAATAATGTAGCAAGAGAAGGCAACATTATCTGTAAGTTTAATTGAATTAACTGATGAGAAAATTTCATTTTCAGAAGCTCTGGAAATTTACTTTATAACAATGAAAAGAACAAGAGAGCCTACCAGCATTATAATTACCAAGTTTCATGTCTTAAGTGGTTAGTCAGTCTCATTGACAATTATCAAAAATGACTTTGAAAAGTTTGTCTTTTGTTGGATAGGCTGTAAATTTATAATAATAATAATAAATTTTAGGTTTGGAAGGACCTTCACGGTAGGCATCCCAACAATCTCAGCCAGGATCATATTGACAGAACTGCATCAAACTGCTGACTCATGGATGCTATCTTGGAGAGATGGAAGGGTTCATGAGTGCCCTATGAGGCAGTTATAAATATAAGAAAGAACAGAAACCACATTTAAAAGACAAAACACACAGATGACACTTTTAGGAAATGCCACATTATATGTAAGACTCTACAACATATCACATTAGGTTAAAGCTTTTAACACAAACTGACTAATTACATTAATATAACCAAATAGCAAATATATCAAAAGGTTGCACAGAAACACAAACTTTTAAATACCCAGGAACCATACTACAAATACTCCTCATACAGTCATACTGTGATCATTCCATAATCACAGATAAAACAATCCATATATCAACATACCTAACCCCAATGTATTGATACTGATCCAAACTCAAACTTTGTATAAAATTTAGTAGTCAGAAAATTAATATTAACTAATTCAGAATGTACAGATACATAATAAGATCAACCTGGAATAAGATTTAAATTATGCAGGAGTTGCATGTTTTATTTTTATATAAAAACAACTATAAGCCAGAATGATATTCTTGTAAAAAAATAAATATATATGTTTTTTTCTATGTCTAGGATCAGCAATCTTTTTGAAAAAGTAGTTTTTTTAAAGTTTGAATAAAAACCAAGGTCTAAGAGCAGTAGGAAATATAAATGAAAAATATGTTTTAATTACACTACAACTATAATTAATAGTATCTGTTTTTTTTCAGGTGCAAATGTACTTTGTTTTAAAAGTAAATTAGCAAAACAAAGATATTTAGAGTAAGATGTCATTCAATAAGTTTTAAAATTATAGTAGTTAATAAAATTTTAAAAAGTTTTGTTTAAAAAAGCTATCATCATTAAATCATACATATTAATAACACAAAATTGATTTTAAAAATATAAATGAGAACATTACCTTGCCAATATGAGATAGAGCTGATAATTGAAAAGAATGAAGACCACGGTCGATACGTTCTGACAACCAAGTACATAACATTTGCATTTGAGATGCATACCATTGCTTAAAAATAAAATTGTATATTCATATTTAATATCTGACACGTTGATAATTTCATTTGAAAAAATAAAATTACTCCATTCTTATGAACAAATAACCAAATAATGCTTTAATGGAGTTTAGATTACATTTTATGAGAATTAGCAGTTTCAGGCCAGTAGTCTATCTTCAAATACTAAAAAAAAAAAAGTTTTTTCCAGTTTGAATTTTCTGTTTTTACAGGTATTTGAAGATAGGCTACTAGCCCAGTGTTTTCCAACCTTTTTTGTGCTATGCCCCACCAAGCCTTTCTAAAATTCTTATGTCCCCCTAACATATACAGCGGCTATACGGTTAACTTAAACTCTGGACAAGTCTATTTTTGAATTGCCCCACTTTGGGAAACACTGTACTAGTCTGAAATTACTAATATTCAAAGTATAATTTAAACTCCATTAAAGCATTATTTGGTTGAAAATAGGAATGAAATACTAAATATAGCAATACTTTTACATATATTATACTTGAAGCACATCATTCCAAAACCTATCTTATTCACTTTCACTTAATTTTCAGTATTAAGTTTAAAGCTTTAAACTGATACTGAAAATTAAGTTTAAAGCTTAATTTTCAGTATCAGTTTAAAGCTTTAAATTTGACAATGCCAATATTGGTTTATAAATAACATGCAGAATGCTGTAAGCTTATTTTTTTAATTAAAACAGTTCTTTACACTAGTAATCAGATAGCACAGGTGGTACAAAAATTTAAAAAGTGGATAAGATGGAATTTGGAATTAACTGTCTCATCTAAAAATTTATCAATAATCCCTTATAACTGCCCCTCTACATGTTTTTCTCCTAAAATTCATTCACAAAACTTAGTGAATTCTAAACTCCTATAAATGTTATTATTTGATGTAGTTTATAGAACTAGTTTTACTTCTTAAAAACTTTGAAATAAACATTTTTTGTTACTTAACTCTGCTACTTAACTATCTAGTAAGATGGTTAACTAATGCAATCATATTAAATTTTTAATTATTATTATTATAATTTGAATAACATAACATACCTCAAATAAACTTAATACCCACAGTTCATCAGTCACTTTTTGACGTAATTGCTCCATACTATTACGAGCAAAATTAATATACGCTAATCCTACTTCTCTGCCAGAACTTGACATGCCTTGCCGATACTAAACAGAATAAATTTATATACCTTGTCAGCTGATTGTTAGATTAATTATGTCAATACAAACAGAAATGTTAAAACAAACAATAAAAATAAAAACAAAATGTTTTTATAAAGATAAATCAGAACTCCTTTTCATAGGAAGTGAGTTGAATGTATATATATATGATTCACATTATATTGACTACATCTANCAAAAATGTATTTTAATTACATTTGGATATTACTTTAATGTAAAGTTAACCTCCATTTATCATCATATTATAAGGCTATAACATATAATATGACATTCTTTTTCTTGGTCTTTCAACTCATCATTTTCTTATTAAATGTTGCTAGATAAAATTTTAAAGGTTTTTTTTTCTACGCAATTTTAGGAATATGAAAATATTTATAAAATGAAATATAATTTATATTTCAAGCATATTGCTTCTTGCCAGATTTTCCACTTTTAATGAATATTCTATTATCATACAAATTTATGATAAATTTTGATATAGCTTATTTTATATCAAGTGCAGCTACTAGCTTATGATTTTCCGACAACAGTTTATACTAAGATTATAAATTTAAAAAATCAGCAACAAGCTTAACTTTCTCAGCAACATTTAAAACTGTGTGTGGTGCCATCTGTTATCATATTTTATTTAAAAACTTTTTCTACTTTATAATTATTATAAAATGGCAAAAAAAACTTAATTTTAAGGGTAGGGATGAGTTTTATAAAAAGTTGTAAATGCTAATAATGACTAAAATTGTCATTTAAGTCCAACCCTACTCAAGATATGACAAACAACTCCCCTTTATCTCCCCATTACTTGATCTTTAACCATCAAAATTTAATAGCATCAATCCTCCTAATATACAAACCTCCGTGCAAAATTTCAGAAATTTTTGACAAAAAGCACAGGAGTCATTAAGCTTCAAAGAGGGTAAACAAAATCATGCCCCCACACCTAATATCCATACATATAAATAAAAACCCTGCAAATTATTTTTGCATTTCTTGACATTTCAAGATCCCATCTAAAGTCCAAAAATGTACATATTTTGGGAGGATATTTTTTGACTGAATCACCATACTTTCCTTCCATTATACATGGTGTTGCTAGAAAATAATGAACTGTGATTGCTTACACGCTAGTTGCATGTGGGCTGAAGTGAGTGGGTGGGTAAACAACTTTGAACAAGTTAGAACAAGCACAGCAAGTCTCATCTTACCACTGCTATTAGATTGCTGTGAGTGCCTGCTACAAGTGGATGTGTTTTTAGCATTCATCAGAAAAATGGTCAGCTTGAAAGAGGAGCAGCATATAAACCCTGAAATTTTTGGTGAAATTGAAAAAACTGCCACTGAATCTTTGCACCTGCTATGTGAAGCATACAGAGACACATGTCTTTCTCGTGCATATGTGTTTGAGTGGCACAGGAGATTTTCTGAGGGATGAGAGGATGTGAAAGATGTATGTTCTGGACAGTGCAGCACATCAAAAACTGAGGAAAACATGTGAAAAGTGGAACAAATTGTAAACCAATACTACTACAAAGAAGTTCTGGAATCTTTGCAGAAAAGGGTCAGAAGAAAGCAGTGACACTTGTGGCAAAATGGTTTATCCTCTATCATGACAACCCATTCTGCTCTGTCAATGAAGCAGTTTTTGGCCAAGAAGGGAGTCACACTACTTGAACACTCACCGTACTTGCCTGACCTAGCTCCAAGTGACTTTTACCTTTTCCCTTAAATCTGAAGAGAATCTGCTCTGAAAGGACACTGTTTTGATTCAGTTTCTGCTGTCAAGAAAAAAACGATGGAGCTTCTGCATAACCTGCAGCACTGTTATGATCAGTGAAAGTTTGAATGCAGCATTATATGGAAGCAGAAGGATCATACATTGAAGGGGAATACAACTAAAGTGAGTGTACTACTCAAGATTTAAAGTTCCAGCTTCATTCTCATTATTTTCTATCCACACCTTGTATATAACAGAGCTAGGAAAGTAAAAATGTTTTTCATTGGCAAAAATGTTTATTTTGGTAGCATAGAAACATTTCGTATTATTATCACCAACACTGTCAGAAGAAATAGGGATTTTATAATGTTATGCTATATTATGTGCAACTTCACACAGAACTTCAACACAGAATTGCAGAACAAAACACATTTTTGCAAAAAAGGAAATTAGCAGACTTGGTTTTACATCATAATTTTCATGGATCATGGAACAGATAGGTAGGACAGGCAACATATACACATTATTCCTGCTTGAAACCTTGTTCATCCTCGAAAACAGTCCTATAAACCAACCCATCTACTAACACCAGGATGTCATTTTCTCTTAAAAAGGCTTACACTTAATTTCCGTTTAAATTGTTTTAATAAATTGTTATATAGTAAATTGTTATTTAATAAATAAATTGTTTAAATAAATACTTAATTCTATTTATTTGTGCATTTTATTATATTTAAGTAAAATAAATATAATAAAATGCACAAATAAATAGAATAAAAGCAAAAAAATATACAAAAAGTAAATTTTGTATAAGTTTTTGCTTTAAATATGTAAAATTTGTATTCCAAAATGAACATTTCTAGAATATTTTTGGAAGTTTAGTCAAATATTCTGCTCAGCTATGAGTGATGAAGCTTTAATAAAATAGGTGAAAGTGCTTTTACTACAAAAAGCTTATAACATTAGCTATTTTGTAGACAAGTCTATATGAAATCCTGATTTTATAATTTAAGTTATATTTATTTGAATGGATAAAAGTAACAGTTTCCAATAGAGAACATATATTGACAGATTTAATTATTATTATACAGTGATAACATAATATTAATTACCGTTAAAGACAAAATCGGTGCTAAGAGGCTGCCTTCATCATAACGAGATAACTTGTTTAATGTTGCTTCTAATACACTGGTAAGCTATAAATAAAAAGTTTATAAGAATTTATAAGAACATTTACTACTAATAATGATGGTGCCCAAACTAAGGCTCTTGTCATACATTAATCTGACCGGCAAGCATATTTGACACACCACTTATAAATGATAGAAATAGGCCTCCTACATTTGGTGTATATTCTATATACACAAAAAATATTTCTAGCCTGCCTTCTTATGACTTATGCCAATTGAAAAGTTTGGGCACCATTGATTTATAATATCAATAAATAAAAAAAAGTGAAAAATAAATTTTACTAATAATTATTTATTTAACAGAACGTACTCAGTAAATAATTATTCGACTATCAAAACACACTTAGTTTGTTTTCAATAAATTATCTCAGCAACATAACGTTTTCATCCTATTCAATAGGCCATACACAGGTTAAACCAGAAGATTAGAACATCGACGTTCCAAAAATAGAATTATGTAAATTTAAATAAAAAACCAATAACAGAAAATAAGAAAATAACAAAAAATTATATATGTATAGATATAAATATAAAAGAAAAACCAAATCAGATATTACCGGATTTTTATTTTTATTATTATAATACCTTAAACAAACATTAATAGAAATTATTAAGGTACTTTCATAAAAATGAAATTATAAACTAAGGCATAAATTAGGAGTTCATGGAAAACTTTTTGATTATATACTTCCAAGCAATGGTAGGCCTTCAGCATCCCTTGCATTTATACATGCCTCTTCCAGTTTGCTTTTATAAATTTCAATTTTATCAGCACTCATCACTAATGTTTGTGAGTTCAAGTGTTTGACAATATCCACTTCATCCCATTTTACTATTGAGCCTTGAGTCTGAGAGCCATTTAGGAAAGAACTGTTGTGTTTGATCCTTTTTTGATGTTATACTTGTGTTCTTTAAGCCGTACTCCCAATCATATGTCATATGTTGCAATTGTACCAATTGTTCATATTAATTGGCACTTTAATAGCTTATTGTTCTAATTAAAGTTGTTCAGATCAAACACAGGTTTGTTTAAAGAAATTATCATAAAGGAATATTTAGGCAATTGATTAAAATAGATATGCATTTTGGACATTGTTGCCTGTTATCATCCTTTCCTTAATAAATATCTGGTAAGATAAAACTATGGTTTGAAATTATACTTAAAAATATTAGTTTAAAACTTTTATTTTTTTAATCTTTTAAATTTTAAATTAATATAATTTTAGATAGTATAGGATTTTATTTCCTTACTACTTTTGAGTTTATAATTTTACATTTAAGTAACATAAAAATTTTGAATTTTAAGTTTAATTTTATCTTATCGGTTATTTATTAAGGAAAGAACTGACAGGCAACAATGCCTGAATTGCATGGCCACTCCTTTAGCCAATAAAGTATATTTTAATCAATTGCCTGGATGTTTCTATATGATAAGTTTTTAAAAGCAAACTTGTGATCTGCAACCGATGTTCCAACTGACCTTATTGTACCTGAAGAAGGCCATTCAAAATGGCCAAAAACGTTTGATTAAACTGTTAGAAACAAAGTGTGAAAGGTTTTGTCTTACTTATCTATATATATAAAAATGAATGTATGTCTGTCTGCTGTCTGTCTGTCTATTTATCTGTATGTCCTTCATGCATTACCACACCGTTTATCTGATTGCCATGAAACTTTGGAAAGTTGTTTAATACACTCCTGCGAAGGTTTCTGGCATAGTACATTTATCCTACGATAGATGGGGCGAGTGTATACGAGCATTGCGAGTTTGATCGATTTCAAATTGTGAAGACCATTTCCCCCCCTCCAAAAAATATTTCTATATATGCATTTGTGAACTGTTATTTATGATATTTGTAATAATTTTTGTTTAATCACTCTATTTCAACTTTTTTTTTTGCTAATTATGTATTTGCTGAAACTTTGTTAAAACCTTAACTGTATCCCGAACAACAACCAAAGTTGTAGGAGGAAATTTGCCTATTTTACCGATCTAGGGATCCCCCTTTTCCAAATTTTAATATTGACTCAAAATAATTTAAAAAGACAAATTACAATAAAACGGTTTATTATCCAACTATCAGAAATTTCACAACATNGTTGATATTGTCATGCTGAGATCATCATATAGGATGAATAATCCTCTGGTAAAATATTTACTTAAATAATAAATAAGTATTTTACCTATGAAAAAAATGAATAATAAATCCGACTTAAATAAGGATTTAACAGCATGTTTTTTAATTTTTGGAATGTAACTCCCCTTTTCACACTAGTTCTTTGTTTCGTATAACACAAATTCGCATAACATGGCAATTTTTTAGAATGTAACTTCCGTGTTATACAGGGGTAGTATATGAAAATATTTAGATCAAGTTAAATTTAAATAGTTTTTTAATAAAACATACCTTATTTATAAGACCAGTCATCATTAAATTCAGCGTCTCATCCACCAATTGGTCAATTTTTGCATGGTATTGATGCTTGTGTAAAAATATAAATCACATATGTAGTTTTATAACAATGATTTTAAAATTATCAGTAAAATAAGCATACATATAACCTAAATTTTACACAGAATTTTTCACAGAAAAAAATATAAAGTGTAAATTTTATAATATTTTTTTCTCTCTTGGAAAGTAATGAAACATTATTTCAAAAATTTTGACTTGTGAAATGCAAAAATCAACATGATTATAAAAAATAAAATACATTTGGAACAAATTATATGAAATATATTTGAAATGTAAAATGCTAAACCTTTTAGTATATTCAAATGAGAAATGCAAATTACCATGTCAACTCCATCCACAGTGCACAATTTCAATGACTGAAACATTAAGATGATTATATTTAATTAATTTTTTTAATCTAATTAAAATTGTTAAATTGACTAAATTGACACTATTAGATACCTGATTTTTTGCTTCTAATACTACGTTGATCATGGCACACATCTCTGAAGGAACTATATAATCAGTGCTAATCCATCTACTTCCTTTTCGTTCCCACTGTTGAAAGGCCTGAAGTGTTCTGTAAAAGAAATGATGATAAAAATGTTAACACAATATATTATTATTGTTAATGAATTGTGAAATGCAAATCTTGTTTAATACATCACTTAATATAGAATAATACTTAATGTACATAGTAGGATATTGTTTTATATGAAACTGATATACATGGATTCATGTTTTTGCAAACAGCAAATGGTTATAGTCCTTGGATACACAGGAGTAATTCTGACTATAAATGCATATGTGATTATTTTCATAATGAAATTCATTGTGAACTAAAAATAATGATTCAAAAATTAGAAGTAATTTTCTACAGTGCACATTTCAGAAAATTAGAAAATCAGAAAATTATTCAAGATGAAATGAAAGTAAAATAAATTGTTCTAATGCGGCAATTAAATCTAAGGAAAGATTTGATTATATTTGAACACCATACACAACTATGTTCAAAGAATTAGAACAAAAATACCAGCACCTCATCACCTCCAAAAGACAACCAGAATAATGTATAAGAATCAGATTCAGAGGTACTAGGAGTGTTAAGGTAAAAATATAAATAAAACATTTTAAACACATCTGAATATTTTCAGTTAATTGTGAATGGTCAAATAAGTGTCTAAGCCAAGGATCGCCAAAGTGGTCGATATAGCACCTCTACAGCTGTTTTTAAGCTGCTGATCATTTAATTTTAGTATTTCATATATATACAATAAATGTAAAAAATGTAAAATTAAAAGAAATGTATTAAAATAGTAAGTTGTTTTTGCTTGTAACACAAACTTTTTGGTGGGGGTCAATGTGAGGTTTCAAAAAGTTGTAGGGGGGTCGACAATCAGAAAAGTTTGGCAACCCCTGGTCTAAGCAATCATCTGGGACTATTTGGAGTGGAGCAAAAATTTTTATGGAGTTTTGTTTAAATAGTACCTGCTGATATACAGTATGGTCTTGTTTTATGCAGGTTGTATATGTAATATAACATTAATATAAATATATTAAAATAAAAAAAGAATGAAATTCATATAAATTACTTTTCTAATCACTTAAAAGGGGTTTTAGACGAATAAACTAAATTGTTATGTCCTTCAAATCTGATGTTTACGTGAGTTCAAGAATTATTCAGAAACAATTAATTCACAGATTTTCTTGAACTCGGGTAAATGTCAGATTTGAAGGACTTAACAATTTAGTTTATTTGTCCAAAATCTCTTTTAAGTGGTTAGAAAAGTAACTGATTACATCTGGCTAATATTGCTAATTTTTAGCATCTTATTAAATATAAACTTTAATCTCTTGTTTTTAGCTATTTACATATTTATAAGTTATCTCACTAAGAATTTCTCTCAATAGATTGGATAATTTGTGAAATTACTAGCAGTACAAATACAACAATAACCTAATGACTAAACTCTCTATATTCAAGTTCCTACTACAAACAATGATATTCTTTAATACCCATTGCAGTGTTATCACCCATCTGGTTTTCACCTGGACAGTCCGGGAATTTCATGCTCAACCTGTCGATTTTTTTTTTTTGCTTGTACGATTGGTACACATCTCCAATCTCCAATAGAGCTAAGTAATCTGTACGTCTTCTTTCTTAATTTAGGTTAATTACGTTACTCCTACACAAATCTCCCTAATCCCTAACTGTAACTGATTTAGCATGTTATTCTTCACATTGCAAGATGACATTGTGCATGCGTCAGGAACTTCTGTTCTGTTCTGAACAGGAACAGAAGTTCCTGACGCATCCTCACCTGCCATCTGGGTCAGCGATTTTGAAAAGGTGGCAACACTAACCCATTGTGATATCCAAATTGAGTAATTCTGGTATAACAAATTTTTCTGCAGTTACATTTGTAAAAAATTTGAAAACTGTGCTATTAAAAATGGCAAGTAGGAATTAAGTCCATTTCTAGTGTGTGTCTTAATGGTCCATCACAGTTGTGCAGTTTAGTGATTGTTATCATCAAATTTCAATGCAATCTTATTCATTAGTATTCATTCAATATATTCTTAGTTCATTACAGTATTCACTACTCATTTATTTTCAATATTGTCTGGTTTTTATACATTAATATTTTAATTTAAAGTGTACAGTTATTACAACATTTCCATTGCTGTGTATAATATGTAAAAGAAATGTAGTTCATGTACAATTCCTAACATAACAGGTACTATACAAATTTACTCATTACATTATTTCTTACAAACATATTCTTCAATGATCTCAATAAGTATTTGTTAAATTTAATAGCATGCTAAAACCATGGATAGATAGATAAATTGAGTTTTTGCAATGTTTTAATGTCAGTTGGGAAAATTAGTTGGTTTATTTAGATACACTTGAAAAAAGTTAGAATTTTTCCCATATAAAATAATGGAAAATATTTGCCAATATTTTAACTGTTTTCAGGAATGTATTATATTCAAATAACAAGATATTGATGTATACATACAAGTTATAGTATAAGTAAATTTTTGTGAAAAAATTAAAGAATCTTTTAAAAAATGTTGTGTAATGTTTGAATACTTTTTATGTAAATACGAATTGTGATAAAACATAATTTATAGTATATGATAAATTTTGCGTATTCAGTTTTTTTAAACAATTAAATATCAACATCACTAAGAATGCATATAATAAAACAAAATATTACAAATTTCATAACACACAGAACTTTAATGTCTAATTATTTAATTAGACATTAAATAATTAGACTCAAAATTTCAATAATTAAATTTTAATAAGTAATTTTTAAAAATGCAAATAGATCAAATTATTTTTCAGTATGACATAAAATGTAATAATAAATATTTTAAAATATTTCACTTACCTATTTATACATGATTCTAACATATCACAAGCCATAAGTTTTAACCTTTGTTCTAAATGTTTAGCAAATACTTCATCTGGCCAATGAAGATCTCTAATAAATGTTTGTAAAGCATCTAACTTCCAAAATAAATCTTCTGAAGTACCACAACCATGGCTGAAATTTAAGATTATTTGTTATTTACATAGTTTTTTGATTCATAATTGCACATAACAATTATAAAAATATTTGATCTATTACTTTAAAATATATTTGCAACTAATTAACAAAATAAAAAAAACTTTTTGTAACAGAGATGTAACATTGTAATTTATACATGCTGATTCCAAAAATGTCATTAGTTTTTCCACAAACATACAAATTTCCATCACATAAGCACAACAAGAGAAGCTGCACATATATGAAAATATGTAAATGCAATGAAAAATTCACAAATAATAATATATAATAATAGTTTATCAACTCAGATACATTATCTTCTGGTATTTCAATGGTCAGTTACTTTGCAAATAAGTAAATAATGTAGCAGAGCAGTAGTTTTGTGACATGTTGAATCTTCCTATTGCTGAAGGATATGAAAAATATAGGCTGTTTTCAACAGTTTAGAAATTGGTTGTTGTCATTTGACTGCACTGAATTTACCATATATGCAACAAAATGTGTTCAGAGAATTGATACAAGTATGTCACTGTTGTTTCATTATGGATAACATGTGTAGCCTCTGTTGTTTCTTTTGGCCTGAGCCAGAAGCACATACAGGTAACCCCCGTATAACACAGGAGTTATGTTCCAAACAATTGCCATGTTATGCGAATCCATGTTATACGAAACAAAGATCTAGGGCGAAAAGGGGGTTAGGTTCCAAAAATTAAAAAACATGCTGTTAAATCCTTATTTAAATCGGATTTATTATTCATTTTTTTCATACTTAATTATTTAAGTAAATATTTTACCAGAGGATTATTCATCCTATATGATGATCTCAGCATGAGCATCATCAACTGATAACAGTTTTTGGGTGTGTTCGTTAATAGCAGTTGCTCTGCAATGTGAGTGCGCTGCTATTTATAGGCATTTAGGAACGACGATGAAAGATGGCAGTGCCTGCATTATTGATAGTATTGTGATGGAGGAATCTATAATTCTAAAATGAGCTTTTGGAGGCAAAAGAAGGGTCCCAATTGTAAAATTTAACCATTAAATGGATTATTTGTTGAAAGAGCATTCAAAGTAGCACGAAAACAATTAGAAGGCTTGTGAGAGTTACATGGAGGTATAAAAGAATGCACCCTTTATTACATTTCATGTTGTACAGTACGAGGGTTTTACCCAATTCCCAAACTGTGTTAGAGTGAATCCGTGCTATAGAAGTGATGTGCTATAGAAGTGCCGTGTTATATGGGGGTTACCTGTACATTAATATGTAAGTTGTCCTTATTTATGGCTCACATACACTACGAAGTCAACAATCATGTCACCAATCTTGGGAGCTAGGAAAGTCCTCAGCAGTACTGAACAACACTGACAAAGCAATATGTTATGTAGAGATTTGATAGCTCCATTTCAAATGATATTGTAGTGGTTATAAGAATAAAAACAATAGTTGATTCGTTTTTTGAAACCGTGTTTTCGTATTTATTTACTATTCTTATATATATAATATAATCTTAAATATAATCAACTGAATAAAGTGGATAAATGCCAAGTGTTTTAATAATAACACAGTCTTGTGTTCAATAGTAAATAAAAACAATCCTAGACTATGCTAGTCACTGCTTCTATACTGTACATTTCAAAAATTGCCATTTGACACAATCAGTCTAAAGTGATTCATGGAAAGTTTGTTAAAAGTTATTTGTTTGATTTTTTGTTTTCTAACTGTTTGGCAGATTTATTTCTTGATTCTTCTTGATGACCAATGTACTGGTAACTGGTGACATGTCTTCCAGTTTTACATCTGAGGTTGCCATCCTAATAAGTTTAGTCTCAAAAAACATTTAATAAATCCTAGACTTTTTAAAGTGTTAAAAAATTATATTTACTATAAATCTAACAAAGTTCTTAATAATAATAGTTAATTTTTTTCAAGATTATTTTAACATTTAACAGAAATAATTTTAATAATATCTGTAGAATACTTGATATTTGAAGAAATCACAGATTGTTCATTTTCCAAATTGATGCTTAACAGATCTAGATTAAAATTTACAGCATAAAATTTAATTTTTAAAATAATTTAATTATTTTTGAATCTCCTGAAATAAAAATTTATACACTCGATCATGATGAGTCAGGGATGACAATATGGTTTTTTGTGATACTGATTACCATAGCAAAGAGAGTATGTGGCTTTATTAAGCCTTGTTATTTACTTTTCTTTATTTTCCTTATACCATCTTCCTGCGGTAAAACTGTACTTCCGGCTTCTGTTTCCCTAACCACACTGTAGTTAGTTGACCCATGTGGTCTGATCTGTTATAAAACAAAAGGGGGTGACACCTGATCTGTCGAGGGGTTACTGGCAGAGGACGAAGGGAGATTTGAAGAGAACAAAGAAGACATATTTTGGGAGAGAGATGGAAGGAGACATGTGTGTTGACGAGTACGGAAGGAAGATCCATACGACGGAACAATCTGAGGTCTTTTTTATTTCATCACCAATCACCCCTTTGAACTTTCTCCTTCTATAAATACTTTTATAATCCTATGATTCTTAACATCTTCCCTTTTACTTTTGGGCCCAGTTATTTGTAAAAATTAGTTAAGTTAGACCTAAGATAGAATAGATTCTTTGTTTGTTGGTACTTGGGGACCCATCCGTTGTATTTGTTATGATCGGTCCCAATTAATCTTGTAAATTCATTGTTCGAATGATTGCTTCTTCGGAACTTTAGTTATTTTTGTGAAAATTAAACTTATTTATCAACACTGAACATTTCCCCGGATTCTGTTATTTATTACTCGGCTACAAGTATATACTGTAAATGATAAGTAAAGTAGTTGTTACTAATGGTGTCATTTTACTAAGAAATTAGATATTATAGAAGCTATTTGAGAGTCAATAATTTAACTTTCATTTGTTGTAAAAAACTTGTGACTTTATAGTAACTAAAAATACAAAAAGATTTTATGACAAAATTTCATAATAGATGGTACCACACTCAATTTTATTTATTTTGCTTAATAATGTAAAAGTTATTTTTTTAAAATAAAAGCTTGTAACAGCTGGAAAAGTTATGCAACTCGATTTATTTTTTAAGTAAGTTCTTGATAAAAAAATTTTTGAAGCTTGATTTAAATTTACATTATTAAAAACTTCTGGAATTTATAACATTTAGAACTATCATAACTTTCAGTTTCTAATAAAGCAGTTAAATCTGTATTTAATCAAGTAGCATATATTCATTTTATATTCATTATTCATATTATAAACAAAATATTTTCTTATAAACATACCCTTTTATTTCCCATCTTTCTTTCTCATAACCTTTATGAAGGGATTGAGCAATCGAAGATTCCATCAAATCAACATATCTCACAACTTGTGGAGCAAAGGTATCACGGAGATGTTGATGGAATCTACCTCCGCATAGATTTTCTATTAAAAAATTTTTTAAAATTTAAAATCAATTTAAAATCAATTACTTTATATCTGAAACATTTAAATTTTAATATTTACCATCTATTCGTAAATAATCATTCAACACTTGAAACAGAGGAAAACTATCCCAGGTATCCGGTGGTTGCTGAGCTAGTACAGCATCCATGTCAACAGCAAACAATGACCAAAATATTTCGGCATGTTCGACCAAGAGGTCACTAAACCAGGCAAAGGCCTGTAAGAATGTAAGTGAAATAAAAGAAAAAAAACGTAATTAGTTTATATGGATCAAAAGTTGAATGTAATAAGCAATAAAAATGAAAAGCATTTTGTTTCTTAATTGAAATATAAAAAAAATAATCTTAATGAATATAAATCTGATTTAAATTTACTTTTTATAAACATCTGATCAATAAATTAAACAAGTTTTGATTATTGAATTCAAAATTAAATGAAAAAAATTAACATTAAAATTAATCTCACTTACCCGATCCTATTCCAGATGAAAAATGAGAATACAGTACACCAGTCACCATGGAGAAAATATAACACATTACACAACAGAAACATTAACTCCACAGAAAAGTGAGCATTTATAGCCAAAATGACATGTAGAAAATCATTTTTTATTTTTGGATATAATTTCTGATTTTGATTTTGTTTATCTATAAATTTAAATGTTAAAAAGTTTATTGCTCTAATACTATATTTTATTTACATCACTAGTACAGGTAACCCCCGTATAACATGGCACTTCTATAGCACGAATTCACTCTAACATGGTTCGAGAATTGGGAACATCCCCCGTATAACATGGTGGTTTTATAGCACGGGTTCACTCTAACACGGTTCGGGAATTGGGTAAAACCCTCGTACAACATGAAATGTAATAAAGGGTGTATTCTTTTATACTTCCACGCGAGCATTCTAATTGTTTTCATGGCTACTTTGAATGCTCTTTCAACAAATAATCCATTTAATGGTTAAATTTTACAATTGGGACCCTTCTTTTGCCTCTAAAAACTCATTTTAGAATTGTAGATTCCTCCATCATGATACTATCGATAATGGGGGTACTGCCATCTTTCACCGTCATTCCTAAATGCCTACAAACAGCAACGCACTCCTGTTGCAGAGCGACCGCTATTAATGAACGCACCCAAAACCTGTTACTAGTTGATGCTGTNTAATTTGGTTCATACAGATTAATTAAATTATTTATTAAAAAAAATCTGGCAACAACTCATTTTTATTATAAATAAATCTTCAGTTAATCTCAAATTTCATGTAAATCCTTTAAGAAGTTGATCATATTAACATACCTTGCAAACTTTACCCTCTACTTTCAAATCTTCTGATCCATCATTTTAATCTAATGGAATTTAATTTAAAACTTATAATTTTTAGCAGAAAAGAACTGAAATTAAAACATCTAAAACTATTATTTTTAGAAGATTATTCCCCTGAAGATGAGATGAGCGATTCAAAAGTACTAGAGAAAGTTTGCAAGGTATATTGATGCAATTGACTCTGATAAAATAGGATTTACATCAATTTGTTTTAAAATATTATGCATCAATACAATGACACATTGTTTTCATAATGAAACAATATTGTGGAATCAGTATGAAAAAATATAAAATTCATTACAGAAAATAATAACATCTGCAATTTAGTTTTCAAGATATTAAAAATAATTTATAAAATTATATTCAGCTGTTAAAATTAAAAAAATTCTATATTTTATCATTTCAAAAAAATCATTGTCACCTCCATGCTTCATCGCTTAGCTCTTACATACTTATTATCATCACATATTTAGCAGATTTAATGGAAGTTAAATTTAATCATTATGAGTATTTACATTAATACACATGTGAAAACTTATTATAAATACTATTTAGTATCAATTTTTCTATAAAATTTGTAAATTTTATGAGTAAATTGCAGTCTCCTTTTATATAATTAACAATTATCAAATACATCATATTATTCACATTATTAAAATTATAATACAAAGTTATGAGTTCAATGAAGCTGGAAGACTGGTTTCAACTTCTCAAATGATAAAAATGACATCTCACTGAACTTCATAGCAAATTATTTTATTATGAAAATGATATAATATTGATCCATTGAATTATTAAATCTGCTGAATTGTACTTTGCTTTTACTGCTTCAAGTAAATATTACAACACAGAAATATCATATGATTTGTATTCATAATGATCATAAAAAGACCCTTCATGCCAATGATCAAATAAAATAATTAACACTACAGCGTTATGGCATTACAATCATGATTTATAATTAAGATGTACTGTACTTACAGTCGACCCCCCCTATAAGATCATTGATTATTCCGTTTTATATGAATTCCATGTTGTACGAGTCACTTAGATTTTACAAATACGTGTACCGGGCTGTGAATGGCTCACNTGGTTAGAGTAATTCTCCTTTTTCTAATATTTTTCTGCTGTATAGTAATTTAAAGGTATGTGTACTCTTGGGCAGATAGAATTACATTGGGTGCATGCACTTGCTCTATTTCAATAGTAGATCAAGCAAAATTTAGAGCAAAAAAAAAAAAAAATGAAAATATTCAAATGAGAAATTTTTTCAGTATGAAAAATATCCATAGAGAATTAGTGGTAATGATATAAATTATTTAATTCTTTATAGTTTTGTCATAGTGAAATTAAATGCCTTTTTCAACTGATAAATAAACTAATAAAAGAAATGGATACAAATGATAGTGCTTCCATAAAAAAAAAAAAAAAAACAGAGATTTCTGTTAATAAATGGAGTTTTGATAGCTGATTAGCAATCTTGACAATATGAAATGGGCAGGCAGAAATATATTGCCTCCTCAAGGATGCAAGACTTATTTCAGGTCCGAACCCTCACTAAAATTTGTGTTAAGATATTTTTTTTTTAAGCAAAAAAAGGAAGCTAGAAAAATTTTTTGTATGAAAACATGATGCAAACTTATAAACAATAGAAGAATGTAAGTCCTAAGATTGATTATCTCAGTTGGGACCAATTAAACTTCAATGTTGACCTCTCCTGCAATCTAGGTTGAGATCTTATTACACATAATAATGAGTGGTCAACCACTTGGAAAGTGAGAACAAGGAAAGTGACCAATCAGAATGGATAATTGAGGTTGGAAATTAATAAAAAAAATTCAGATTTCAAGGACAAAGTGCTGATTTCTGTCATTTTTACTGTCAAAGTAACCCATGCACTCCTCTCTCCTTGTTTTGTGTGCTATCGTCCTGATTTTGTCCTGTGTTTGCTTTGCCATCCCGGGCTGTGAATGGCTCACGTATTTGTAAAATTTAAGTGACTCGTACAACATGGAATTCATATAAAACGGAATAATCAATGATCTTATAGGGGGTCGATTGTACTAGTACTTTCAATAGCTTACAGTCACCATTGTCAGACAAAAAATTTTTCAAAGATATTTCAGTTTGTTCTGTATTCCATCCATGCACCTTGGATAATTTGAAAAAGTCTGTTTGAAAGCCAAATGTTTGAAAATTAAATTGTATTAAATTTTTTTTACCCGAGGATGGTGGCTGAAAGCTATCGAAAATACTAGAAAATACATCTTAATTACAAATCATGATTGTAATGCCACAACACTGTAGTGTTAATTAATTAATTAGATTTGTATTTATCAATTCTGTACAGAGATAATAGAACTTTGTGCCACAAATGTTGAAATGATAGTGTGTCTTCTGCTGGTTAAGTAAATATTTTATAATAAAAAGACAAATTCTAAAAAAAATAATAAATAAATAAATAAATTCTGCTAGCTTCAGGAAGCAAAAATGGTCATAAAAAGTTGGCTTTTTGAAGCTAGCAGAATTTATTTATTTATTGACATGATGTTTTATAACCTTTCATGCTAAAAAATATTTCTGCCAAAATGCTTCAAGGTACATAGAAAAAACTCAAATTTAATTCTGATGTTTACATTAAATAGAACGTGCTCAGCAAAATATTAAACAATAACCAAATACCTTTATCGTTGCCAAGAAAGATCGCTTTCAACCTGAAGATGGCCTATGGAATAGGTCGAAAACGTTTGTTTTAAATAAACTTTCTCGGCAATGATAATGAATATAAATCTGATTTAAATTTACTTTTTATAAACATCTGATCAATAAATTAAACAAGTTTTGATTATTGAATTCAAAATTAAATGAAAAAAATTAACANATGGCCTATGGAATAGGTCGAAAACGTTTGTTTTAAATAAACTTTCTCGGCAATGATAAAGGTGTTTGGTTATTGTCTGATGTTTACTCTGAAATTTTAAACAATACATTTTTATAAAGCTTATATTTTAAAATAAATATATTGAACATATACAAATAATTTAAAACATCAATGAATGTTGCCAAATTTTTTTAATATCAAACACACAAAATATAAATAAATAGAATTATCTATTTTAAGATAGGTAATTTCAATTAAAGCATTCTTATAATGGTAATTCTTATTTTTACCATAATATCAATAGACAATTCAATTATTTTTTTAAAATATTTACAGTAAATATAGACTGCTTTAAAATTGATAATATAAACTAAAATAGTTCTTAGAGAATGAAAAATGATCACTTTTATGAAATACATCTGTAAGAAATAATAGAAACTGTATAAAATCTGAAAAACTTTTGAAATGAAATAATTTTATTTTAATGAATTTAGAATTGAAATAATAGAAAGAACTCATTGAATTTTTTCTATTAGTTTTATAAGTTTGATATTGTCCTGTGCTAACTTCGACAACATATTTTACAATTTTATACGATATCTAATGTTTTTAAATTCAAAACACCATTTGTTAATGAAGCATTTAGAATAATTTTCCTTACATTTTAACATGAAAATAACAATTAAAAAAGCATTAAGATCAAATATATAGAATGATATTTAAAATGAAAAATTAAAAAATAAAATTTATTATATGAGTTATGTTTGCAATTAATTTTTTATAATTACTGTATATTGAGGTAATGTTTAATATTTCTGTCACAAAAACCCTTCAGTTCATATAAAATTTGACATAAAATGCTTTATCTGGGAAGAAAAAAATGGTTAGAGTAATTCTCCTTTTTCTAATATTTTTCTGCTGTATAGTAATTTAAAGGTATGTGTACTCTTGGGCAGATAGAATTACATTGGGTGCATGCACTTGCTCTATTTCAATAGCAGATCAAGCAAAATTTAGAGCAAAAAAAAAAAAAAATGAAAATATTCAAATGAGAAATTTTTTCAGTATGAAAAATATCCATAGAGAATTAGTGGTAATGATATAAATTATTTAATTCTTTATAGTTTTGTCATAGTGAAATTAAATGCCTTTTTCAACTGATAAATAAACTAATAAAAGAAATGGATACAAATGATAGTGCTTCCATAAAAAAAAAAAAAAAAAACAGAGATTTCTGTTAATAAATGGAGTTTTGATAGCTGATTAGCAATCTTGACAATATGAAATGGGCAGGCAGAAATATATTGCCTCCTCAAGGATGCAAGACTTATTTCAGGTCCGAACCCTCACTAAAATTTGTGTTAAGATATTTTTTTTTTAAGCAAAAAAAGGAAGCTAGAAAAATTTTTTGTATGAAAACATGATGCAAACTTATAAACAATAGAAGAATGTAAGTCCTAAGATTGATTATCTCAGTTGGGACCAATTAAACTTCAATGTTGACCTCTCCTGCAATCTAGGTTGAGATCTTATTACACATAATAATGAGTGGTCAACCACTTGGAAAGTGAGAACAAGGAAAGTGACCAATCAGAATGGATAATTGAGGTTGGAAATTAATAAAAAAAATTCAGATTTCAAGGACAAAGTGCTGATTTCTGTCATTTTTACCGTCAAAGTAACCCATGCACTCCTCTCTCCTTGTTTTGTGTGCTATCGTCCTGATTTTGTCCTGTGTTTGCTTTGCCATCGTCTTGATTTTGCCCTGTGTTTGCTTTGCCATTGTCCTTCATCTGCTTGACTTGCTCAAGACACAGCACTGAGGCCATCGACACCTACAAACCAACTCAGAGACCGGAGGAAGTCACCACAAACATTGATACAGTTATAACTAAATTGAGAAAGTGTAAGACCACCTTATATAAAATAAATGGGTTTAATTTGTAAAAATGCTTGTGTCAGTATGTCCAATGCCAGTACCCAAATACAGTTCTAAACCCCTTGTACATCCTGACGTGAGTTTAACTAACTCCACCTCTCCAGGTCGGTACACCTCACACTTACCCTTTCTATCCATCTTCCTGCCAAATGTGTGCAAGTCCATAACTAATAACACATGCAAAATTTTTCCATCCATTTTGTCTAGCAGGTCTATCCAAGAGTGCACTTACTCTAAGATAGCTGAAAATGTTTGCTTAAAATAATTGCTGGATAAAAATAATTTTTATTTTTAGTTATAGTAATTAATGTTTAGAAGCTATAAAATAATTTTTCCCATTTTTTTACACATAAAAATAATAAATTTCCAATAAAAAAAAATACAGATGATAAATGATAAAGAATGAAGAGCAGTAACTAAAACATGATTAAGGTTAATATATATTGTGTTTAAAAAAAGTAAATAATACTTAATAATCAATAAAATCAGCATATATAAATTTTTCTGTAATATAATTTATTTTGTAAACTGTAGATGTTTGTGATTTCTAAATGTAAAACAGAAAAACTATGTACATAATGTAAAAGAACTGGCCAGATCTGTGTAGATGCGTGAAAATATAACACATTGGAAGATATTATATCATTGAAATAACTATATTAAAAGAATCAAGATATGAGATGATCAGAAAAAGATAAAAGAAAGTATATATTTTTGAGCAATTTTTGATAAACTAATGAAAGGAAGATGAGTAATTTATTAATCTTTTTGAAGATAATTTTTTGGATTTGTGGTTTTTCTCTATTAGGATGACCAAAGAACTTGTTATAGAGACATCTATTATCTCTCTCTGCAGAACAAATAAAGAGAAATAAATGAACTGGATGCATGGATGTGGTTACTTACATCTTTTAATCCATGATCTTGTACTTGACTTTTTCTCCATCAAAAAAAATCAACAAATAAACTTAATAAGATCATAATAAATACAACCTCACTGGACAGATTAATAAGATCATTTTTGAATTTAAATAGAGTAAAAATTAAGATGTATTTGACAAATTAAGATTAGCTGATAGGTATCAAATATAGAAAACTTGAAGAAGAAAAAGAAAGGAAAATAAAGGAATTCCAAACTTCAGAAATAAATATTTACATTTCTTTATTATTCCTTGGCAGATAGTAAGCTTTTTCATGACAAGATTGATGTGAAACAGAAATTTTTCAAATAAAAATGATATGATTAATAATGGATTTAGAATATGTTATGACGTAGACCAACGGTGGGCAACCCCCGGCCCGCGGGCCAGCTACGGCCCGCGAAAAGTTTCTATCCGGCCCGCGAGATGTTTAGAAGAAATTATAAATAAATATTTTTCGATGTAATTCGTCTAGTTTAAATTGAATATTATTTTTATTTTTTGAAGTGTTGCGGCAGCAATGACAGGAAAAAATAAGGGAGTCATTTCCTTATTCAAACAAAAAATGGGAGAACAGAATTTTTCTAAATTATTTATATCTCATCGCATCATCCATCAAGAAAATCTATGTGCAAAAGCTATGCAATTAGAAAATGTAATGTCGGTCGTATCCAACTACATAGTGCTGTTTTTATTGTGTTTAAAGTCACTTAGATTTTACAAATAGGTGAGCCATTCACCTATAGGTGTTTAATAGTATATCATAGGTGTTTAAAGTCACTTAGATTTTACAAATGCGTGTGCCGCATTTGTAAAATCTAAGTGACTCATACAACATGGAATTCATATAAAACGGAATAATCAACAGTGTTATAGGGGGGTCGACTGTAGTAATTAATTTCTTTTTATTTATTTCATATTTGCAGACTAAAAATTTACAGGTCACAAGGTGTCAATTAACTACTATGGCCCGCGGAGAAACGTAAAATTTATTCTGGCCCATGTTATAAAAAAGGTTGCCCACCCTTGACGTAGACAATTAAACGATAAGATTTTTATGAAGAGTTGTAAGGAAGAAAATTTCCATGATCATTAAATACATTTTATGTATTAATTTAATTTTACAAATATTTAGGTACATTTATTTTTATTGTTTTTATCCACATCAAAAATTTGTTGAGATCAGCCTGTAATGCAGAAGGATTGTCACTGATAATTCTTGATGTCTATTAAGTGTACAAAAAGACAGTTTGGAGAAAATGGAATTATTATATGATGATGATAAAATAGTTTTGGATAGAACACTGCTGAATAATAATAATTTAGATGTTAAATGCCTAGCACTGTTAACTTTTATAAAAAACACAAATGCTATAAAGATTACAGAAGTCAAAGTGTTTTATTTGGTTAAACATTTTTCAAATAAACATATTTAGGAAAGAATAGATATTGATGACTCTGACCAATCAGCATGCTTTAGCTTTTTTAAAAATCTGCTCACATTTTCAAATTAACTTCTAGAATGCTCAACAGAAACTCAGAAGTTCTCCTTCAGATAATGGGATGAAGAAGTCGCAAAAAACATTTAACCAAATAAAATATGTTGACTCCTATAATCTTTTGTAGCATTTGTATTTCTCCTGATATTACTAGAGCTCTAAAAGTAGCCAACATTCAGATTTTAAAAATCTAAGTAGCATATTCTCTGTTCTGATGTATAGTGCATTCTAATTAGAGAAAAGCAGTTAAAAGAAAACTAACGATATGCTTAGGAAACAAAGAAACTTCAAAAACATTTAACAGCAATTAATAACTGACCTCTTTAAACTTTGATGATCATAATATTGTCTGTTTTCAACAATGAGAAGAATAGATACATAATTTAATATTGTCATTTGTGCATTATAAAATTTATATTGTTTTTATTAGCTTCATTAATTTAATGTATAAGATTCAGTTTTCAGAATATTAAATACATTAATGATTTCTGGATATATGTTAATTTTATAATTAAATTTCAGAACAGATTTTATGATCAATATAAAAGAATACAAAGAAGGTAATTATAAATAGTTATTATGAAAATTAAATAATAAGATAAACATTTTACGAAATTTTTGAAGTCTTTTTGAAGATGTAATATGTTATTATGAAATCTGCAAATACATTAGAAATTAATGCACTTATAAGTTATACTAAACAGTAAATCCTAAATTTGGAAATTTTAATGATAAATTGTATTAAATATTCTTTTCTGATTACTGTAATAGACTAACCATTGACAACAACAGTTAGTCTATTTTTCTTAATAGCATATTACTAAAATATTAAATTCTGATTATCTTCACACATTCATCAATTAATTATTAACAGAATCTTTTAAAAGAGTTTGAATTTTTTTAAACAATACTTCATTTTAATAATAAAATGAAAAATTAAACAGGATCAAATATTGTGTATGTTTGTTTATTTTTTTTATATTGATGTCATTAAATAATTCTTTCAAAATTTCATTTAATAAAAATAAAAAATTAAAGTTTAAAAATATTTATCCAATGTATATTATTTAAAAAAAGCCATTCATTAATTATGTAAACAGTTTAAGAGAAAAAGTACATTACTTTACAAGATGGGAATGGAGGGAGATCAAGGCATTGTCTACATGGACTTTTTTTAGTGGTATTAGTGGCATACAAATGTGTTCTTATAATCTTACCTACCGGTCATGTAAATAAACTATTGGTTAGAAAATATTTATAGAACTTTCTTATTTCATGGGGTCCATTGAACTATTGCACATGTAATTAAAGGAAAATGGGTTTGCCAGAAGTATATCATCGTATACAGCAATGAGACAGAGTTTGAACTGGCTAAAACCTGTATACATAATAATGGATGGCTCCAAATTAAGTTACTACTTAAAATTTAATTCTGAAATAGGATAAATTTTAATTGTATGAAAACAAATTAATGAGATTACTTATTAAATATCTTACATAAAAAACAGCAATAAGAAACGGCACATCACAAAATTACACTCACCGATTGAAAGGCCTGAAGAAGCAGGAAAGGACAACATCAAGGAATGGAGGGAAGAGCAAGGAAGAGAGAGCACAAAACAGCAATTAGTGTACAATATTCAACAACATATGCATATATGGGAGAAGAAATACAAATATCACTAAATAATAGCATGCAAAAGTCCACATTGGCAAGGAAAGATAACATACATTTTTACGAAGTGTTACAGTTTCATACATTGTGTATTCATGCTTTCAAACAGTGGTGTGTGCAATACCCAAAACAGCATATAAATTTTTGATTACTTACCTTTTATTATTATGCCCCCAAATACATACCATTAACATTTAAATTCTTTTTACTTTGAATATTTAATGCAATTTCAAATTGTCAATAATGTATAATGCTCAAAATTTAGAAAACTTTTCTCAATACATTTTGATATATCAACATTTAGTGGTTTTTTTTTTTTAAATTAAAAATACTATCAAACAGCATTAAGTTAATTTATATTTGCTTGATAAAAGTTTGATTTATAATAAAATTAAACTTAAATTTATAAAAAAACAAAATATTATTAAAAACTTTTGACTTCAAACATAAAATAATTTCCAAAGAAAATACCAAAAGACAAAAAGCTTTATTTGTGTAGATGTTAATAATATATTATAATTTTAAATAATGTAATACTGTTTAGTACTTGATTGCTTCTTATTCTCTGTACTTAGGTCTTTGGATATAAGCACACAATTTCTGTGGAGAACTTATTGTACAGGAACAGTTAACAGTGTTCCTGTACAATAAGTTCTCCATAGAAATTCTGTGCTTACTTCCAAATACCTGAATATAATATTGTTATTTAGGATGAATTAATACAAGCTAACAATTTTATTTAATTTCTGTATAGAAGGAAAATTTAAAAATTATATTAATACTTTTAAAAAGAAATCAAACCATATTTCATTTCATTTAGAATGGAACAAGGAAAACCCAAATATTTTGAGTTATTATGTTTATCTTTAGGAGAGAATTTCAGATGTAGAACTCAGAATTTTCAAAGGCAAGTTAGAAAACCATTCTTACTTTTTAAAACATTTTATCTCAAAAACATCAGATATTTTGACATTCCTAGACCATATTTATTTCCATAATTCCATAATTATGTAAATTCAACATAAAATACTGATGACAAAAATAAGCCCAAGTTTACTTTTGGAAACTTATTTGTTGATAAAAATTACATCATTTTCATCACAAGAATTATAATAATTTATTAGTTTCTTCATTGTCAGACTCCAATATCTAATTATTATTTTCATTCTCTTTGCTTTTATCATAATTGAAAGAAAAGAAAGAAAGAAAAAAAAAAAAAAAAAAACTAACATTTCACACTCTGTTATTGCTCTTCTTTATGAACAGAACAATGTATGCTTCTTATTATTACTATAACAATAGCTAATCTATCACCTAAAAAGAATATCAAAACTTCTGTTTGTGAAGAACAGGTGAAGTTTTCATTTCCAAAACTGTGATGCCAACAGTACAGCATGCAATAATCCAGTATAATTGATACAGTACTCCTGCAAGTTTGACTTAATGTATTATGTGGACAAAGTGACAAGTTACCAAAAATGATGAGGTTTATAATTCCAGGTGGGATATTCACAATTCAAAATACATTTCTACAAATTAATCTATTAAAATCTTTTAACACATTCAAAGCAAAAGAAAATCTACAGTACAATCTAACATAAAATAATTATTATACTGCAAAAACATAAAAATTTACCTCCAGACAATGTCTTATTACATGTGTATTACAAGGTATTATATGTGCAAATTCATGTACATATTAACTGTATACAAATAATGACTATTTCTATTTGTAGTTAAATTTTAATTAAAAAAACTATTGGCTATTCAGTGGCTATTTTTGCATCACGGCATTTTACAGTGGCACCTTGGAAAAAGGGTTATATTCTTTGTTAAAACATAAAACTGATGCTATTAGTAAGTGTTCTCAATGAGGAACAATAACTTATTTGATCCTAGTGTTAAATTATAGAAGAAGAATTAGATTACATGTATTTTTTTCATGAAGAATACAATGAGTTTTACTGAATATCAAATTATCAAGAGTCCAGTTTCCAGGACTCTACTATATCTGTACAATTGTTTTATTAGAATATTTTTATATATGACTTAAATAAAATTATAAACAAATGATTAATAAATAGTTTTATGATATGGTCCCTAAAACAATTTTTTAAGATTTTAACTTGCATTTGAAATGTCTGAATACTAACATTTGGAAACATTGAATGATTAACTTGTAAATTTACATCTGCAATTATTTAAGGTTTCAAATAAAGCATTTTGTTCATTTGGAACTCAACCACAATAATTGGATCTTAAAATAATTTCATTTTAAAACATTAAAATATTTGAATTAAATCAAGAACAACAAATAAACAATAAAAACAAAAACTAATTCAAAAATTTAATTATAATTGTAAAATTTTGTACTGTTTTTCCCAAAATTAATTTAAGATAATTTTTCACAAGAAATTGACAAGAAATGAATACACCATTTGTGAAACTTTTAAGAAAATGTGGACTTATTTATATTATTATTAATAAAAATACAAATTCTTAGTTAATAAAATTTAAAACTTATATTAATATGCATAACATCATGAAATATAAATAACAAATATAATTCAACTAATTTATTTATTTCTTTAATGTTTTAAAAAATGAAATACATTCATAAAATTAAGAAATATATATTTGATAAGCCATAGTGTTATCTTTAAACCTTTTGTTACCTAATTTGGTAATAAAATCAAGAAATAAATTTTTGAAAAAAATTATTTTTTAAGATATTTTTTGATGAGTTTCCTTAAAAATAACAAATTTGTTCATATTATACATTGTATTATCTCTGTATAATTAATATATTCAATAACTAGTTTTATGTTAACTAATTATTGTTTTTCATTCGTAAAATCTGTACAGATTTTAATGGTATTTTTGTAATTTTAGTGGTTATTCTATTTAAAAAGTCCGATATCTTCTGGCTATTTATAAACTATAAATTAATTTATTTTGAAATTTGGTCTAGAAATAGATAAAGCCACTATCAAGAAACTAACTATTTTATAAACAACTTCATCAATTCTAGACCTGCAAGTAATCTGAAAGAAATCACTTAGTGTTTGTTTACTTTAAAACTTATTATCTGAATGCTTTTCTTCAAAAATAAAATCACATTTAATTCTGTTCAATGATATAAGAGATACCATTTAAATAATTTTTTATGATTTTGCTATCAAATATGTAAATGTTTGTATATTTTTTCAAGAGTTAAATAATATAAATTATTCAAAAGTTAAATAGTTGTTAGAAATTTATTATTTATATCATAATTTCTCAGTATGAAAAGTAAGATAAATAAAGTAATAATATATATATATATATTAAACTTAAAATTAATTATAATGATATAATGAAATACATGTTTTTTGTTATTTAATGTTATATATTATTAAAACTTGATAATCAACTTCAATTTAAATTTTATTTTTTGCTTCTACTTTGTATTAATAGAACTTGAGGCAGACAACTTACAGAAGAAAACACTAATGATAAATAATTTTTATGACAAGATGCTGAATAGTTAAATCTAAGTAGAACTTACAAGAAGCAGCACAAGGTATTTGGTGATGCTTTCCTTGTACATTGTTTTCACAAATTACATTCATTGTTTGTTCTTGAGAACTTGATTCTCAGAAACTCATTTGATTCTTAAAGTAATCAATTCTGCTTACTGGTTAATTCCAACAAAGACTATCATTAAAATGATCTTGTGTCTGTATGCCCCCTTGACATGTGATCATTGTTTCTCTGACAAAGTTTGAAATCATTCTTGGAATAGTTTATCATGCTCTGTGTTGACCCTTATATATAAAGATAAATTTACTTATCTACAAGTGGAATTTTTTCTGTTTTATCCAGGTTCAGTTAAATACTTCATAGCCAAAAATTTCTATTTCCATATTCACTAGTTTAGTGACTTAGAAAATTGCTCTTTTTCTGAAGATTTTTTTTCTGTTTAGGCAGGTTTCTGTTTTAGAAACGTTTTACTACACATAAATGTTAATTTTTTAAAATTAATATGTTAGATTTTTGATGTCAGAGCTATTATATTAAAATATTCCAGTAAATCTAGATGCATTTACTTTCATTTAACTTTATGTGAAATGTTATTTATATTATTTAATATTGGAATATTTCATTTTATTTATTTAAACATCAAGTAATCCTGATGTTTATATCTAACTGATCTTCTTAAATGCACTTCTTTTTAAATACATACATAGCAGATTTTTCAAACAATTATTGCTAATGAAAATGTAGTTTTTTAAAAATGAGCTCTAAATTGGTAGAAATGATAATTCATTATTTACTTTTGTTTTTTGAAAGCATTTTTTTCATATAATGTGAGTGAACTTTGATGACAAAAAATATATCAGAAAATGTGTATTTTAAAATATTTAGAATAAGTTATATGTCAAGTTATATAAAGATGTGGCAATAAAGTTTGAAGATTGATACTGTTATGTTTGTGTAAGATATTTTAAATGCACTAATATCACATGTCATAATAAACTATTTGGATTAAGTTTGATTTTTGTCATATATATATACTAAAAGATGGTAATGAAATGAAAATTTAACAACTGTCTTCATGTTTAGTTTTATTATTTTGCTAAGAAGTAATGATTGAACATCAAGTTTTGTTTTAAATTCATGAAAACCATAATTAAATTATATAAAAAAATTAAACTTTTTGTGTGGTAATGAAACTTTTAAGTTGTAGCAATATCTTTGAATAGTATGAATGATTTAAAGATACAAATGTAGAAGTTATTATGATTCAAAGAGAAGACCATCCTTATTGTGATACGAACAGTTGTTAAAAAACATAAAATTGTGACAAGAGATCATTGAATGTCACTAAGAATAATAACAGATGAAATCATCATTAAAAAACATAATTTGACAACTGTGTGTGAAAAAAGGCAGATCTTTGCTGAATTTATCTTTAACATAATCAGAAGCAGCAAAGAATTATATTAAACATGGATTACTTCTTTTAACTTAAAAATAAATACATTGAAGATACAAAAAATTTTGTCTTTACACTGAAAATTCATTTAAGCTTGTCAACACAATCTTGATTTCTTAACTGCATTTACCTGGAATGAATCCTAAGCATTTGACCCAGAGACGAAACATTAATGCTATTTTGTCTTTGAGACAAATACTTAGGATTCAGTTCAACTATAATGCAATTGAGTAAATGGAAAGGCATGTAAATGGACTTTAGGAAGTTTCATTTCCAGATCCTAAAAGTTTCATTTAAAAAATATATGCTCAAAATTATTCTGATCATCATCATTTGACAAAAAGGATATGATCCGTAGAATATGTACCTGAAGGGGAAAGAATGAATAATGCTTCAAGCTAGACATTTCAATGCTTACTAAATATTTCTCAGATGAGTTTATAGTTTCAAAAAATTAGTTGATTTTTATTATGATAATGAACTTATCCATTCTGCACTGGAATGAAAAAATTTCTGACTGTTGTGGAGATAACTATCTGTTCTCTTTAGTTGATCTTGCACTATCTGACTTATTCTTCTTTATCAACATAAAAATTACACTTAGAACCTTCAAGATATTGAAGACAAAGAAAAATATAATTGCCAGTCCAACTTAAATATCCTCCTTTTAAATGCTTTTGCTAATATTTTTCAAAAATTTTTGGAATGATACAGTAGATTCATTTAAAGCAACCTGTAAGAAACCTATGAAAAACAGTCATTATATTGAATTTTCTCAATATTTTCTAAATTTGATGGAAAGATTACATTACATAATTTCATGCCTATATAACAAAAATACTCCAAAGCTTAAAAAACTATCCTTTAAAATTATATTATTTAATATTGGAATATTTCATTTTATTTNGTACTTTATAATTATCATTATTGGAATCTCTTGTTATATCTAGGAAGAAATTGTAACAGTTTTTTGTGTCTACTTAGTGTAATTTTTTTCATTTAAATATAATTTCAATATTAAATTATTTATATGTATTTTTATGTACAGTGTAATTTAAAAAAAAATAATTTTTTAAATATTGATGCATACTTTCATTTAAGAGATTGGTCTGATTTTACTTCCAGGATTGTTGATTTGATAATCTGAAAGCCACTCCAACAAGATTTCAACCATTTACATAGTTATTACATTGATAGTAAATAAAATAGCATTAAGCTTAGTGAACAATTGGGATCTTTTCTATTAATCATTATATTGTGGCAAATCATGAAATTGAGAGTCACTATAAAGCAAGGCTACTGTATAATAAATGTATTAAAAAAAAAATGGTTTTTAATTAAAAAAAGTTAAAGATTATTGCATTTTTTATTTTTTTTATTCCATCAATCTGGGAACTTTATTGCCACTGTATTTCTTACATATCTATTATGAAGATTCTTTTATGTAAAATCAGATTTCTTAATTTTTATATATTTTTCATTTCAAAATAAAAATCTTATATGAAATTTACCATTATTAAAAATATCTAATTAATTAAAAATTATATTTATACAAATACATAAAAATTGAATATATTCTGCCAACCTCTGCATAATGTTCATTGTTTTGTTGAAGTAAATCTACACATAGCTCAGCTAAATGTATTAAATCTTCCAAATTTTTATTGGATTCAACTGGTTCTTCATTGTTTTCATCTAAATTAAAATATAACAATAAGAGAAATATTTTTTTTTATACATCCAAATAACAAATTTAAAGAAAAATAAAATAAATCCATTATTATCAATAACAATTGCAGTATAAGAATATGTATTAAAGATTATAACAATTCATATAAAAAAGTTTTCTATTAATCATGAATTATATACAATTGCATGTTGTTATTAAAATGAGGAGAAATGATTTTCCTTGATAAGATTTTACAGCTTTTATCACAAATTATTATAATAAACATAAATACTCTAAAGATTTTTGTAATAAATTATAATGATTTGTGTAATTTTCGTATTTAATTATGAATTTTAAATTTATATTAAAAAAAAATAATATAACTAAATGAACACTCTAGTCACAGTTTTAAGGCTCTATTGAGTACACAGTTGTAAGGCAATAAGTTTATATAATGCAAAGCATGTATCATGACACTTAATATTTCACAAAATTTTGGATTTTAGTTAGTACTGTATTCCAAATACTGGCCAAAATATAATATTGATAAACATATACACATGTCCAAATATTATGGATGAACACAAATGCTAGCATTCATAGCTAGAAAAAGTCTTGGTGATGAGCCTGTCACAACATTGTGAATGGCTGCAATGCAGTTCAAGATCTCTCTGCCTGGATATTGGTAAGCATTTTTATCCATTTACCAGCTATGCCCAACTGCTCTGTGTATTTTTCACCAAAAATTTACTTTTATTGTTTTGATTCTTATAAAATTCTATAAATTAGTGGGTATTATCCTCTGTTAGACAAAATGTAATAAAGTTCTTGCCATATATGTCTGCATTCACCTACAGTTCCCTCTATTCATATATAGCACAAATGTCATCTGGATCCATGTGTATATCTGCGGTATGAGACCCTGGGCAAAAGCTTACATTGCCTAGATCTAAGACAGCCAATGTTAGTATGTTTTATACTAAGATAAAAATATGAGAATCTTAGAATTAAAAAGTAATGAAAATATTTGTAGTGATTATAATTTTACAAATGATATATAGCAAATAATCAATATATGCAGATTCTATTATTGTAAAAAAAATCTGGAAACAAACATATTATAAATTTTTGTTTGCAAATTTTTTTACAAATTTATAATTTGTTTGTTTCCATTCATAATTCTGATTAATTTTTGAAAGCAAAATAGTTCACATATTTCAAAACTATTCATAAATTTAGTTTAGAAAAAAAGTAAAATTAGTAACAGTACTATAAAATAATTTCAAAGAATGCTTATTACTAAATACTTAATTATTTCATATCTAAATTATGAATGACAGATGATATAATAATGTTAAATTAGCATTTTTGTTATTTGAACACATTCAAACAAGATAAATATAATAATATGTACCTGGTTTAGGTGCTGATTCAGCTCCTTTTCAGAAGTGAAAGCATTTCATTAAAAAAAATTGAAAATGAATAAATTTAGTTTAAATAACAGTTTATTTCAATTAATTCTTAAAACTTTAAATAAAAAATATTAAAATATATATATTTTTTAATATTTTTTTTATTAGTATTATCCATTAACTTTTTTATAGTCAGTCCTTAACTTATGAACTCCCAATCTTACAACTTCTTACAACCATCTATACTTATGACAACTGAAACTGGTGTATTAAAAAAATTATTTTCAAGTCCAAGCAATTTCCAAGCTTATTAATGGTATGGTACAACAATTAAGTATTAAATGTAACACTGTAATGGACAATAAGCATGCTTTATATTAAAGTTGGACCAAATACTTGGCATTATTTACTGTTCGGCCAAAAACTAAACACCTCTATTCAATATTCAGGCCAAATACTTCCTCAAAGCTGAACTAGTCAGCCAAATGATCTCATTCTGGTTCAGGAAGAGAAAGAGAAAGAAAAGGAAAAAAAATAAATAAAGCATAAAATAAAATGAAAATAACATTTAAAATTTGATATTTAAAATTATTATTTATTCCTCACCAAAACAAATATAAGTTTAATAAATGATCTTGAGCAATTATTATTCATTAATAATCACAATTCAAGAGTGACAAATTAATGAAGAAACATTAATGCTTCTGCATGCATAGGAAGTAAGTATTTACTTAGTTGTCATTGTGGCTACACGCCATATTTAAATTGTATATTCTGCTTCCTCTCTTTCTGTCCTATATGTCTATCCTTCCTGGAATGTTCTCATTTTGGTCTGATTTTACTTCCAGGATTGTTGATTTGATAATCTGAAAGCCACTCCAACAAGATTTCAACCATTTACATAGTTATTACATTGATAGTAAATAAAATAGCATTAAGCTTAGTGAACAATTGGGATCTTTTCTATTAATCATTATATTGTGGCAAATCATGAAATTGAGAGTCACTATAAAGCAAGGCTACTGTATAATAAATGTATTAAAAAAAAAATGGTTTTTAATTAAAAAAAGTTAAAGATTATTGCATTTTTTTATTTTTTTTATTCCATCAATCTGGGAACTTTATTGCCACTGTATTTCTTACATATCTATTATGAAGATTCTTTTATGTAAAATCAGATTTCTTAATTTTTATATATTTTTCATTTCAAAATAAAAATCTTATATGAAATTTACCATTATTAAAAATATCTAATTAATTAAAAATTATATTTATACAAATACATAAAAATTGAATATATTCTGCCAACCTCTGCATAATGTTCATTGTTTTGTTGAAGTAAATCTACACATAGCTCAGCTAAATGTATTAAATCTTCCAAATTTTTATTGGATTCAACTGGTTCTTCATTGTTTTCATCTAAATTAAAATATAACAATAAGAGAAATATTTTTTTTTATACATCCAAATAACAAATTTAAAGAAAAATAAAATAAATCCATTATTATCAATAACAATTGCAGTATAAGAATATGTATTAAAGATTATAACAATTCATATAAAAAAGTTTTCTATTAATCATGAATTATATACAATTGCATGTTGTTATTAAAATGAGGAGAAATGATTTTCCTTGATAAGATTTTACAGCTTTTATCACAAATTATTATAATAAACATAAATACTCTAAAGATTTTTGTAATAAATTATAATGATTTGTGTAATTTTCGTATTTAATTATGAATTTTAAATTTATATTAAAAAAAAATAATATAACTAAATGAACACTCTAGTCACAGTTTTAAGGCTCTATTGAGTACACAGTTGTAAGGCAATAAGTTTATATAATGCAAAGCATGTATCATGACACTTAATATTTCACAAAATTTTGGATTTTAGTTAGTACTGTATTCCAAATACTGGCCAAAATATAATATTGATAAACATATACACATGTCCAAATATTATGGATGAACACAAATGCTAGCATTCATAGCTAGAAAAAGTCTTGGTGATGAGCCTGTCACAACATTGTGAATGGCTGCAATGCAGTTCAAGATCTCTCTGCCTGGATATTGGTAAGCATTTTTATCCATTTACCAGCTATGCCCAACTGCTCTGTGTATTTTTCACCAAAAATTTACTTTTATTGTTTTGATTCTTATAAAATTCTATAAATTAGTGGGTATTATCCTCTGTTAGACAAAATGTAATAAAGTTCTTGCCATATATGTCTGCATTCACCTACAGTTCCCTCTATTCATATATAGCACAAATGTCATCTGGATCCATGTGTATATCTGCGGTATGAGACCCTGGGCAAAAGCTTACATTGCCTAGATCTAAGACANTATGTACCAGTACATCCACCACACATTTTATTTCACCAAGTAAGTTTTTATTATTTTATTTTTAATTGTAGCCCTTATATCGTGGCTAGTGATTCGGAATGTAATTGTGATATTAAAAATGCATTTAGAGAAGTCTACGGTTTTAACTGGCTTATCAAATAAACAATACAAATGGACCCTAGACCATCACTGACGGGCAATTGACTGATTGCCCTGGATATCAGCTTCTTACAGAAACACAGCTTCCCTATCATCAAATGTCACGGCATGACACTGGTATACACAAGCAGTTTCTATTATCATAATGTGTAGCTAAAAACATTAAATAATTACCTATCTTTTACCTATTATTCAAAATAAATTAAATAAAAAAAATTCAAACCTTCATTCTTTGCTTGTTCTGAAATTCGAGTATAATTCACTAAAGCTGCATTTTCAAGGCACTTTTTAATGACATTTCTTACTTCTTCTGGTGCTGCTGGAGTCATCACATCTTTCATTAAAACCTATATTATTGAAAAACTCTGTTATACATTTAAAAGAAATAATTACTGNGCTGTATTGTCAGCACCCAAAAAGCCAGATTCGCACATATGCTTTACAGAGCACCAACCTCACCTGGTTTAGCTGGTGGAAGCCTAGGACCTTGGGTGAATGCTACACGTATACTGCATCCAATTCTATCCAGGATCGGTTCTGGGCTGTTAGCCGCCTGCCTGCTAGATATTTGGCCTCCCTCGCCTGATTATGTGAATCACGAGTAGATTTATAACTTAACCCAACTGATAAAAATTTACTGGTATGTTTTTATGATAGCTCTGTATGGTTGACAGGAGTTTAAAAAAATCCATTAAAATATTTGATATTTTTATTCCACGCTCCGATTTTATATTACTCACAGATTTCAATGTTAAATCAGTGATATTATGATTTTGTATATCCCATCTCTAAGGGGATGTAGAAAAAAATTGTACAATTCTTGTATAATGTTAAAAAATTAACTGTTACTTTAACAGCATCATTTACGACTAAATTTAATGAATGAGAGAGATGCATGAGGTACAGAAAAAGCTCTAGAATTTATTTTCCTTACATTCACAATTTATATATCTGTTTGTCATAAAAATTTGTCTTTCCACTTTTTTCCCAAGACTACAAATATTTGAGTACAAAGTAACTGGTTTCAACTTATTTCTACTTAAGAAGTAGTTAAATAATTAAGTGAATAGTGAATTGGGGATATAAATAAAACCGACAAAAGAGCCGGAATTTTACTTAAACAAAAGCTTAACCGAACTATCTCTAGCTGAGTACAATGGAGACTGATTTCTTTGTATTATTAGACGTAATAAAGACAGAAATCTTTCCAGTTCAATAAGAGTGACCAAAAAGTTGTAAATTTTGGAAATTTCTGAGGACACTTGGTCCTAAAATGAATTAATTAGAAAACAAATGACTATTAAGTTTAACATATTTAGATTTTTACAGCTATGGTGAGAAACATTTAAAATCTACAACAGCCCTGTCGCGTCCTTTGAGATATACTANACAAATGACTATTAAGTTTAACATATTTAGATTTTTACAGCTATGGTGAGAAACATTTAAAATCTACAACAGCCCTGTCGCGTCCTTTGAGATATACTATTGATGCGACAAAAGAGGTATTTGACATTGACCAGTATTGGCACCCTGGGGATTTGGCAGTCCGCATGTATGCACGCTCTGCAACCGTCTTCGATTCCATCCATTAGCCACTTATTTGACTAAGTGAATTGTTTTAAGATTTAAAAAGTAAAGAATATTTTATATTTTTGTGTACGTTTCTTTACAAAGCTATATTTAATTATAATTTTGTTTAAAAATATATTTATACAATTGAAGAATATTTTGTACCAGGTATGTACTGGTACATCCACCACACATTTTATTTCACCAAGTAAGTTTTTATTATTTTATTTTTAATTGTAGCCCTTATATCGTGGCTAGTGATTCGGAATGTAATTGTGATATTAAAAATGCATTTAGAGAAGTCTACGGTTTTAACTGGCTTATCAAATAAACAATACAAATGGACCCTAGACCATCACTGACGGGCAATTGACTGATTGCCCTGGATATCAGCTTCTTACAGAAACACAGCTTCCCTATCATCAAATGTCACGGCATGACACTGGTATACACAAGCAGTTTCTATTATCATAATGTGTAGCTAAAAACATTAAATAATTACCTATCTTTTACCTATTATTCAAAATAAATTAAATAAAAAAAATTCAAACCTTCATTCTTTGCTTGTTCTGAAATTCGAGTATAATTCACTAAAGCTGCATTTTCAAGGCACTTTTTAATGACATTTCTTACTTCTTCTGGTGCTGCTGGAGTCATCACATCTTTCATTAAAACCTATATTATTGAAAAACTCTGTTATACATTTAAAAGAAATAATTACTGTATTTAATTTATTTATAGTAATGACAAGTATAAATTCCAAAACCATGAAAATCATTAAACACTTATTAAAATAAAATATGTAATTGAATTCAAACATTAATTAATTATTCTTATAAAAAAATAAGCAAAAAATTTATTCATAAATTAATGCTTTTTAATTCTCAGTTAAATTTTGAATTAGATCATAGTATCTAAATTATGATAAATTTTAAATTTAAACTATAAAAATTTTTTTTTTCACATAATGCATAGGTCAGAAATGAAACATTAATGTATATAAGAAGCTAAAACAATAATATATAATAAATGACAATAATAAAATAATTATGTACACTAAAACAATAATTTATTAAATATTACACATATTTCTTTAATGATTATATATGTATATGTTTTTAGGTTATTTTTATCCAATCAAATGTGTATAAATTAAGAAATTTATATATATTAGGAAGCTTAAATTTTAAAATGTTTTAGTCTTTAATATTTTGATTCGATTCTTACTGGAGGGGAAAAAAATAGAAAATTATTTCATTTGCTTCATACTGCAATAGGAAATAAGTCATGTATTGAAGAAAGAACAACACATTCTTATTTTAAGTGAGGTTTTAAGAGTTATAAGATATTTTTTTATAGATCAGTTTACAGTCACTATTGCATATGTTCTGCAGTTTGTAATCTTACATTATGATGTCACATATGTCATTATTAATTCTTATTTGTTATAATTAAGACAAATTATGTCTGAGTTTAAAACTTTTCAGTATTTTAATTAGTAGTTTTAAATTTTCTTCTGTAAATACATACCTTTGTTGATGAGCCAAAAGACTTAAAATTATTAGGATTTAATGTTCTCATTAACAGAGTAGAGTATGATTAAATTTGATAAATGGAAATAATTAAATATTTATATATATATATTGCTAACCCACATATAATAAACAAGTAATGAAAACAAATCCGATTTCTTAAAATAAGAAAAAACAAAACTGTTTTATTGGAGCTTACTTACATTGAATAATAGTTTTCTAAAACTTTCAAGTAATCAAGCTCACCATCAGTAGATATACAAGTGAACTAGTTTGATAACTAAGTTACCTAAATTTGTTTAACTAACATCTGAACGCTGTACAATCTTATTCCCCTAAGACCTCCTACTAAGTATAGGGGCTACATAGGGCTAGAAAACTTAGAAGGGAGCACACTACAACCATCATTCAAAATATTAATCTTGTATAAATTAGACTCTGAGCTTGTGAGGATGGCATCCCAGGAGAACTACACAACCTTTTTGAGATCAGATATGATGTCTGCAATTCCCCACAGACAACATCACAATCTTCTTTTGAAAATTCTTTACTTATAACCTAATGCCTATCAACTCTCCAACTCTATTGTACTCTTATCACTGGAGTAACATCCACAACCATCATTTCATAGTGGAAGTGATCACTCTACTTCCCTAAGTAGCAAGTTACCATTTGGTCAGCATTGACCTCAGGGTCCTTTGCTATTAATTATTTTCCCCTTCAAACTTCATTTGTATATCATGCTTTGTCTGTAACTTCCAAATCTTTTTTTTTTTCTAGTACATTTGGGAAGAATAAGGGAAATTATTCTTCAATGTAAATGAGCTCCAATAAATCATGTTTTGCTTATTATAATAAATAAATATCATAGTCATAAAGAAGAGACTCATCTCTGATAAAGTAAGAATTAAATTATATTATAAAGAACACAAAAATATTATGAAGAACAAAATGAATTTGTTTTAAATTCTATTAAAAATTTTACTTACTCTTTCTAAAAGAGATAATGTAGCTTTTAATGATCCTTCTGGTCTACCAAATGGAAAACAGTACCTATAAAAAATTATTTAATTTTAATAAGATGCAAAGATGAAAGTTTTGAATTTTATAGTTTTTGTAAAGTTTAAAAGAAAATTTTATAGTTATCTAAGATCAGAATAAATCTACTATTGATTCTAAATCTTACTTTCCTTTCTAAATAAAATTGCCTTTTGTATAGTTCTGCTATCTTTGTGCTATTTTTGATATCAAACTATTTAATTCTACTAATATACATCCTTCTACTAAAATTTGAGTTAGGTAGTGGATGCAAAAAATGCATCCATAAACCAAAAAATTGAATTAACTAAACTAACTAAATTAATTAAGAAAAACGTAATTAAATGGATAGACAAGTTGAAACAGAAAAGGATAACAGAATATAAAAAATAAAGTGAAAGTTTTCCATTAACTTTTATAAAAAATCTAATATATTATTTGGTTTTTTTATATTAGTTTTAATAGTTGGCAAATTATTCCATTACAACAGATAAATTTCTAATCTTGTCTTATGATATAAGTTGAATTAACATATAATATAAACTGAAAAATTATTAGATTCTTTTCACAGACCTCTTAAGGTTGCCAAATGCCTTGTAATCTAATTAGTAACATGCTTGAATGAAAAATCATTCTAAGTTTCAAAACACATTTCTCTTTTTTTTTTCTAGCAAATTCTTTAATTAAAACAAATTTTTTCTGTATTTAGTTTATTTTATTTAAATTGTATAAGTTTAAGAATTCCAAATGTTGTTTTACTGTGATGTCATAAGAATGCAAGTGAATCTCGATATTTCAAATTTATGTTGTAACTGACATTCCAATTATGCTTAACCTGAAGAAGGCCATTTAAGATAGCCAAAAACGTTAGTTCTTTAATTCTTTAACTAAATCAAATAAATTTGCTAGAAAAAAGAGAGAAATGTGTTTTGAAACTTAATATAGGGAAGTTCTAGCTTACTGTAGAATTGAAAAATAATTTCATTAGTTAAATAATTCTCTATAGAAGCTAACTAGTTTTTGTTAATTATCCTTCTGTATTTTGTACTATACACTTTGCTGACATTATTTTCTGAAATAAATTTTATCAATGAAATCATAAAATATTCATCAAAAAAATATATAAAATCTTTTCAAATCTTCAATATGTATCACTATATAAACATTTATATTATATATGTTTAATTTTATTGTTATACAAGTTTATAAGCAAAATCAACACTATGGCAAATTGAAAAAGTAATTGTAATAATCTATTCTAAAACCCTGATCCATCCCTGCTTCATGAAGAAAAAAACATTTATTAAACAAAAGTTATGTTCTCACTATATATAAAAATAGGTATATAAGAGCTTCATTTCTCAATGATTATCGATGAATGAATCTCAAATACTGTGTAGTAGAGATAACACAGGAATCAAAATGACACTTCTATCAACAGAATGCAACTTTATTACTGTTGATAGAAGTATCATTTTGATTCCTCAATAGCAGTTTGATAAGCCTCTGTTATCTCTACTACACAGTATTTGAGATTCATTCATCATGAAAATAGTTAGTCAGAATTCATATAGTTATAATCAGAATAATTATTTTATAGAAATAAATTACCTGAAGTGAGTAATTTGATTTTCTAATAGTATTCGAAGTCTTTCTTTTATTTCGGCAAACATATCTTTTTCTTCTACTGTGACTGTTCCAATTCCATCAGGCCTTTTTATTTACAAAGATTTATTAATTGCCTTATAAACAATTGAAATAATTTGATTATTATTAAAATGGCAGACCTGTTTTATTAATTTTTAAAATTTTAATGATTTTATTTTAAAATCCAAATAAAACAAACTTTGTGCTTATATAATTTTGAGGAAAATTTTATCTGCCAGAGCAACCATAAAGAAAATATAACTAAACAAACAATATTTATAAAAAATAAACAAAAATTTTATATTTCTATATATTTAAATAAAATATTAATATCTGATCATTTCTAATTAATAATAATAATAATAAAACAACATTTCTAATTAGCATTATTAATACTGAAGCTAAATTAATACTAAATTTTCTTCCCTTTAAGCTGTGATATTTTCAAATCATTATATAATGATGCCTGTTATCATCAGTAAGTAATTGATATACAGAAACTACTATTAAATCTATGTGGCTAATTTTATTCAAGACTGAAATGTTACTTGTATGTTTTTCAAAAAGAAGAAGGAAAAAAAAGGTTTTTAATACATAATAATTAACTATATCAAGCATTTATTATTCAGTTAAATCTGATATCACATAAATTTAAGAATAAGCAAATTTAATTTAAATTACAATATTTAAAATTTTTTCTATATAAAATCATCTTATGTAGAAATATAATTCCAGTTTCACTTACTATAATTTAAACTTAAATATTCTCTTAAGCCATTTAATGTTGTCTGATTGCATTTCACTCTGACAAAAATTTATTTTTATGGCTTTGAAAATCATCTGTTTATAAATATTAACTGATGATAAATTTATGTAGTTAACTAATTGTTAATGTCAAACAGTATCCAATTTGGCAAATTAAAATCCTCAAAAATTAATTACAAAACTATGAAAATCTGCAAATGAAAAGTACTGCATGAAAGCAGAATGGTGCTATATCCATTTCCAAGCAAGCATTAACATAACATGTGATCTTGCTTGGGGGTAATCAATTATAAACATTGAGGGGATAATCAATGTTTATATTACTGTAGTAAAAAATACTAAAGAAAAGAGAATGAACATACATAAAAGAAGTGTAAAAAATTCTTTGACATAAGAATAAAATAAAGCAGTAATTGTTTTGTAAAGTGTCAGAAAAACTAAAGCATAAATAGTATTATTGATAGCATTTGACAAAAAGTATTTGTGGATTGAGTTTGTACAAAAACATGGATCTACTTTTGCTTTTAAATAATTGCTGAAAAATTAAGAATTACATGTTCTAAGCAGATGGAAACCTTGTTGCTAAATAAAAAAAAAAAGTAAGTGAATTCTGTCATTGAACAATGCTATTTGGTTAATTCTAACTGATTTAAAATTTTTGAAGTGGGGGAAAAAATGCCAAATTGAGTTTTTCTTAGAATGTTAATAATTCTTTATACAGTTTAAAAATCTATATCACTACACATAATACAAAACTAAAATTTAAGTTAGCACAAGTAAGTTTGATTGTGTTTTTTACTATTTTTATGTACCATGTTTATCTTTTGATATTTAAGTTTTTATATTTTCATGTTTTTCTAAACTTCCTAAGCATTCTATCATAAAAATAAAGTTGTATTTAATTCATCAAATTTAGAATGTTCAATATAATCTTAATTTAACACACACAAAGTTCTAATGAATCTCTTGTTTATTTACTTATTTTTCATTTCATTATTGAAGAAAATGAAGAATTTTTACAAACAGCTGCAGGATTTAATTTTTTTGGATACAGATTTTATTAGTTAAATAGTATATTTCTTTGATAACTTCTAATATCTCAGTTCAGTTTCATTAAAAAGCTTTTACACATCCTTTTCTTCCACTAATGTCTGGATTAATGGAAGGAAAGGAAACTATTATCTGCATTATCCAGAAAAATTATCTTTGGTAAGAATAAAAAGATTTTGTCTGTCTTGAAAATGAAAAAGTAATCTGTTTTATGTTTTATTTTTAACAAAGATAATTTAAAATTGATAATGATGTTGGAATTAAAATATTTGAAATAACTAATATTATAATTTGGGTGATAGACAAGTAATTTGCATTCTAATTAATTTCCTAGTAATTTTAATGTCAAAACTGGAACAATCAGATGCATTAGTAAAGATTTCTACTGTGATATCTTACAGTTAGTTTAAGAATATTGTAAACAATTATTGGACAGAAATAATGATAAAAAAATGAGGTACTTTCATATGATGTAAACTGCCATTACATATTTCTTAAATATTAAAATGAATCCAAGCTGAGCTTATTAAAGTTTATCTTTTAATAGTTTTATTATTAGTATATGAAAAGAACATATTTATAACTTTTACATTTTCTCTATTGTTAAGTCCAATATCTTCACTTTTTTTGGAAGTGAAATGTTCCTGGAAAAATGGCAGGAAGTGTGGTGTCACAGGTGGTGTTGAAGGAGGGCAAAAAGGGGAATTTTTCATTTTAGAAAATCATTTTTTCTTCTCTTTAACAGTTTTATTATTCTATTTTATACAAGACTAGAATTTCTCATTTTTACCTTAAAATGATCTAGAGATCCTATTATCTTTTATTAGTAAAGTATAAGTTCTGTCTTTACATGTATATTCTGAGCTACTAAATCTTGCCAAAACTGGTTATACAATATTAAATAATGTCAACAAAAACCTTCAAAATATACCAGAAAATAGAAAATTAGATCGTTTAGCATTCTAATTCTATCAAACATTTTTGACCTGACACAGATCCTATTGAGATTGAAAACGTTTGTCATAATGTATTTATATTAAATTCTATTTGCTGGTATATTTTAAAGGTTTTGTTGGTGTTATTTAATATTCTGAGCTACTATGATGTTTAAACAAGTTATTACATACATTCATTGTTTTTCTCATGCATTGAAAGCCGGTCAGATGACCGAGCAGTACAGAATGTTGCTGTGAAGGATCTGGGATCAAATCCCGATTGAGATTGCTACAAATATTTCTCACATAAAACTACCTGTGTATCTTCTCCATCTAACACCCATACTGCATCAGTGGGTAAGTAGATTTGATCCCTAAACAGGATTGGAACCACTAGAGCCAAAAGAATTTTACTTATTCTGACTCCACAACACTGTTTAAAACAACATATATAATATGATCATTATAGAACAGAATTATCCAGTGAACTATTAAATATGATCAATCAATAAAATAAAACAAGAAGTATTTTAATTTTTTTAAAGCTAGCCAAACTATTTGTCAAGAAATGTTTTCAGGATGTCTTAGGTGAAAAACATTTGTTGAAAAATAGTTTTTGGCTACCTAAATAAACAGTTATATTTTAATTTTAATTTATTAATTGATTACATAAATCTTAGCATCATCATTTATTATAATTTGATTTAATCTTGTATCTTTCTTACATACTTTAGTAAACTGCAATAAAGCTCTGTGTAATCTAAGGTAAAATGCACAGTACATGATAAAGATTTTAAAGCTATTTATATATCCATATAACAAAACTGATAAATGAGCAGGAAGTTATATAATAAAAAATAAAAATTATTCTGCTTGCAAGATTATTGTAATAGAAGTTTACTCTGGCATAATATTTTATATGCCTTTAGAAATTCATTTTAGTGAGAATTCAGATATTGATGGTAAATTATAAGAGGAAAAAGATGATTCTAAATAATATTTTCATTATACATTCCAATATCAATTATTTAATATTCAAGCAAGCAATAACCACATCTCAAAGATTAAATGTATTGAGTTTCAATAAATCAATAAGGATCAAGTCAAGTACAATACATAATTAAACTATTCTCAAATTTATGTGATAACAGAAGAATTAACTGTTTAATTCCAAAATCTCAAATTATTTTTATAACAGAATTAATGCAAGTTGTACAAATGATGGTAAATGAAAATGTGTTGTAATTGAGATCTACAAGATATGTATCAAATTTTTAAAAAATAAATAATTTCATTATTTTTATTTCAAAATATTTAATATAGTATCTATTTCATATTCACCTAAACTAACATGATTACCAGTAATAAAGATGTTTATAAATGATATACAATTAACCAATATCTAGCAAGAAACTTTTCTTGCTGGATATTGGTTATATGTGTATTTACATATATCCAGTAGTTGAATTTATAAAGATGCTTTTAAATGTGTCAGTTTATAATTATTATCAATAATAAAGGTTTAGGTGATTTCTCATATTAAATAGAAACTCACAAAAAGTTATTAGTGAAAACTATTCAAATGTAGTTTATGTTTGATACTGTATGTTCCATAGTTAAAAATGTATTTAAAATTTTTTGCCTTTAAAAAAGCTCATAAAATTTTAAGACAAAAACTGTTGAAAAAATAAATTATTTCATTAACTTTTAAATTTGAATGCAAATGCAAGATGCTTTAAATCACAATAAGATACCTAAAAGGGATTTTTTTTTATGTAATTAAGATTTAAATGTTTCACAATGCTAAATTCAAAAATAAAACTTTAATTATGGCTCAATAAAAGACATTAACATGAAATTGAAATAAATGATCTATATAAAAATAACAGAATGTGGTATTATTTAAAAATGAAGAAAAAATTATTCAAAATATAGCTTAATTATGGAATCAAATTCAAAAATGAAGAAATGTCTAAATTATTTTTCATCAATAAATAATAAAATTTAATGTAGAAAAATCTGATGCTAAATCTTTTTTATGGCATTTTTTTCCATTCTTTTAATTGGTTTCTAGGTTAATGTTTAAATATCATGAAATATTATATATAAAAATGAGCAGTTATTATTCTCTCTGTCAAATCACATTTAATACATATATTATATATTAATTAATTAATCTTTCAAATTTTTCTTTTGTAAGATTTACAGAATAATTTATATACACATTTACTACTTTTATAAATAATTTCTATAATTTATACATACTCAGAATTACATAAATTATATTATAACCTCCTTTTTGTATATAATACATTC